GGCCTCCATCCGCGGAGACAGAGCCAAGGAGACGCTGGTTCGGATGACAGGCGGGGGGGCGGGGGGGGAGGTGACAGCTGTTACCCAGAAAGCCAGCGACCGGCGCGTCTAACGCTGCAGCTGCACCTCTCGTAAAACCTGCCCAGGTCCCTCCGAGTTGCTAGGAGATGGAGAAGAATCATGTGCACGCGAGGGGGAAATGAGGCCAGGGTGGATTAACGGGTGCAGATCGGCGTAAGGCTCGGACGCCCCTTGTGTGTCACCGAGAGACACGTAATTAGTGCTTCGTGGCACCGGTACTCACGTCAGCACCCAGCTTCACCAGCATCTGGTGGAAGAAGGCTTCCAGCTCCTTCTCGTCTATGTAACCGCTCTCTAAACGCGAGCAGATGCGCACAAGTCAGTCGCGTACACAGGGCACCGCGGGGCGTCTAACGTTTACCTAAATTTGTCTGCCGTCCAGCGACCACGCGCCGACATCGACCCCCAGAAGACCTGGACCTGAGCAACAGACACACCTTCCAGAGACAATGCTTTGTGCTGAATACTCTAGATGTGACTGTTCAGGAAAGAGAAGCTTGCTTTCCTTTCACATTGAAAAGTTTGTACTTTAGAACTACAATTCCAACCCAGGAATAATCGTGAGTTCCAGAATATGATCTAACGCAGGGATCCGGGGAGCGTGGAAACATCCAACACGCGTGAGCGTGGGATCTAGCTCCCGGGGTAAAAGCACACAGTGCAGAGGTGGTTGGTGGTTAATTATTCATGAAGACAAAGCGGATGTCAGGGAGACCCCTTTTCTTTTCGGGGGGTCTGTTTCGTGGGGCGGGAGCAGCGTCTTTTGGAGAGGTGATCAAACCCACCCTCCTCTGAGAGAGTGGGGGGTTATACAGCACTCACAGTACAATTGAGCGCGTCTGGGGGGGGCATGTGAGCCCCCGCCCTCGAATACACATAATTCTGCCGCTCGTGATGATGCGTGTGGTGTATCACACGCGCGGAGACCGAGACCGGGAGATGCTGGGGAGGGGCACAGCCCTCCTCCCACCCCCACCTTCGGGAGCCTGCGTGAGTGCCCCGCGTTCGCGGCGCGGGAAGACGGCGTCCCTTTCCCTGCAGGGAGAGCCCCACGGGCGCGGGGCCACGTCCACGCCGGCTCGCGCCGGGCGCGGGGGGCTCGCCCCGCGCTACTCACTCACCGAGCGCGTCGAAGCGCCGCCAGACGTGCCAGAAGCCTGCGGCGTCCCAGCCGCGCGGAGCGAGGCCGCGGGCGCCGCTGTCCATGGTGCTGACCCGGGGCGCGGGCGCCGCCGCGCGGGAACTGCCCGAGAGTTGGGCGCGGAGCCTCCGCGCCGTCTTCCGACCCCGCGCCCGCGCCCTTCCCTCTCTGGCTCGCTCTCAGCGCCGCCCGCGGCTGGCGAGAAGGGCGGCGCCCGGTGTCACCCAGCAGTGCCCAAGCCCCGCAGAGCTCTCAGCCGCACGACAGCTGCCGGGCGCCCGCCCGCCCGCCCCTCGGTGCGCCCCGCCCCGCCCCGCCCCGCCCCGCCCTGCACCCGGCCCTCGCCCGGGCGGGGGCTCCCATCTGCCTGGGCGCTGGGGGCCACCGCCTCGGGGGTCCATGGTCCATGCCCTTCACCCTTTAACTTGTCAGACTCACAGAAGACACCCCCTTACATTTGACTCGCCTTCCAAACTTGTGTCTAAGGCGGGGAGTTCCAGAGAGAGCCCCCCCCCCCGCCCCATTAAAGGGTTGGCAGTGGTTCAGTCCGGCCCCTGCACCCGCTGATGCAGAAAGGGGGAGTGTGGGAGGCGGGGCGGGGGTGAGGGGCGTCCGCTCCCTGTCCCGGAAGGAGGTAGGTCAGGTCCAGGGACCGTGCACTCCCTCACACAGAGGTTTCTTTTCCAGAAAGTCACCCACACCCTGACTGGGAAGAGGGCCAGCAGGAAGGCAGCCAAAGGCCCCGGGGCGGCAGGAGTTATCCCAGTGACGGCCCGTGTCCCTGGAAGGCCCTCCCGCCCGGGACAGGGGCTGGGGGTGGGAGGACCCGAGACCCTCCCTGTGCCCCCTCGAATCTCAGGGCACAGCAAACACGAAGCACCCCAGTGCACAGGAGACAGACGTGCAGCGTACGGGGGGTGCGGCCCCTTCCCCGAGGCTGTGACTGAGGCGGTCTGTGCTGCAGCGGCTCTTAAACACCCCCCCACCCCCAGGGGACGAGAACGGCGCCTGCGCCCCGCCTTCCGGCGCCCAGTCCTGCGGCTCCACTTTTGGTCGCTCGACTATTTGGATACGGCTTCTCTGAAGGACAACCTGGAAAAGAAACAGACTCAGGGAACAAATGTCACTTCTTATTAACACCTTATCATTTTCAAAAAAGACCGGAACTCATATGCTGCTCTGGTAAGTCGTGGCAGCTGAGGGCTGAAGCAAAGGGCCCACGTCACCCCCTCCCGCTGCCCCCGCGTCCTGGCTTGCTCATTAGCGTGCCTAGCTGGTGGTTAGCTGCAGCAGAAATGCCAGCGGCCTGTAATCTGGAGCCTCGCTAACTAACCCCGACGCCTGCATCACCCTCTGAGCCAGTCACAGCATCCACATCTTTTTGCCAGGCGGGGACGGTGTTCGTGGCTGGGACGGTACACGAGGCTTCCTTTGGCATCGCCCCCCAGTAGTTGTGGGGCGCTCAAACGTGGGGACCCCCGGCGGACTCTCCGGCAGACCGCAGAACCAAAAGCGGTTGCCTTGCTCGAACACCTCCCTAGCCCCAAAGGGCAAACAAAGGAAGTCAATTAAACGAAACTGGGCAATGTTGATCCTAAGAAAACCCTGGAAACAGAGCTAACTTCTCTTTTTAACATGCATACCTTGTGTTGTTTCTTTAATAATCACACGAATCCTGAAGGTCATTTAAATAATACAGATCAGAAGATGGGAGAGTCCCCCATAACTTCACCCCCCAGAGACAACAAAGGACCGTAACTACTGGCGTGTGTCTGCCCTCACGGTCACCACGCACAGAGGTGGGCGATGCTGCTCTGGAACTTCACGTCACGTGACGCGTGAACAGACGCCTCCTCACTTTACCGAAGTGATTTAATTACGTCGTTCAAACCGACTCGTCCCTACTGACCCGCTTTGTCTGCTTGACTCAAAAATTACGGAGGGGCGTGTTAAATTCTGGCGATGGATTTTGTTTCTTCTTACAGTGATTTAAGTGTCTATTTTATGTCTTTTGAGGCTGTTATTAGGTGATTTATCATTGATTTGTAACTCTTTTTCTTTGCGAGTGGGCCTTTTCATCACGGAAAAGAGAGAGGCTTCTGCAGTGCTTTTTACCGACGCGAACGGGCCCGCCGGCATTCGGACGGCAGGGCATCCCTGACCCAGCTCGCTCTCCACTCTCGCCCGTGACCTTGCTGGCTGCAGGTGCGCAGGGACGCCTCTCCCGGTCACCTGGACGGAGGAAGGAAAGCTGTCTCCTCGCGCCCGACCGGAGCTTGCGGGCCCGGGGCTGAGCCCACCGCACCCCCTCCTCTGCGGCCTCCCGAGTGTCCCAGGCAGAACTCATCCCTTCTCGTCACACCCACGGGCGCCGACGCCCTGCACCACACTCCGTGGGGTCACGTCCATCCTGGGGCCCGTCAGCTTGCGGAGGTCCCTGTAGCCCCTTCCGCTCCTGTGACGGCCATCGGAGGGGGCGGCTCCCACGGACATCCGTGACAGAGGAGCTGCATTTGCAGGAGGCAGCCTCGTGTCTGCCACCCTCACGGCCCCTCCACAGAGGCCGCGAGCCACTCGGTCTGCAGTCCATGTCACCTGTGTGTGCCTGTGTGCATGTGTGTGTGCCTGCATGTGTGTGAGCATGTGTGCATGCGTGTCTGTGTGTGCCTGCATGTGTGCGAGCATGTGCGTGTGTGCCCGTGCAGGTGTGTGGGTGTGTGTGTGCATGTGTGTGCCTGCATGTGTGTGAGCACGTGTGCGTGTGCCCATGCAGCAGGTGTGCATGTGTGTGGGTGTGCGCATGCCTGCATGCGTGTGAGCACGTGTGCATGTGCCAGGTGTGGATAACAGTCCTGTCCATGCCCCCCCACGATTCCACGCTCCCCAGACGCCCACGCAGCTGGCAGCCCCCCCATCACCCACCACGGCTCCCACTCGCCCCCAGCACGTGACCCTGGATTCGAGCCCCACCAGGCGCTGACCACACCCTCAGTGAGCCTTCGGACACGTCCCGCCTTCCTCCCAAGGGCCAGGGCAGGGGACAGAACGAGCGTCCCATTCAGGTCCGCTGTGGCTCAGTCTGCTGACCTGGGGACCAGGGTGGGTCTGGGCTTCGGACACAAAGACCGAGCTCCTCACCAGAGGCCAACTTTAACTGAAAAACAATACCACACAGGTCCAAGTTCCACTTGTAAAATCACTTTATTGGTATAAATATACACATGAATAAAATAGCTTCAGCTTGTCACGTAAGTGAACATCTGTGAAATGTCTTAAAAAGAGTAGTATTTTGATTTTTACAGGTGTCAAAGTATTCTCTCTTAAAATCTCACATTAAAAGCTAATATGCAGACAGAGGTTAAAGAAATCGAAAAACACAAATATCCATAAACTCTCATCACAGTCAACTCTGTACATCAGTCTGGGCGCCGGGGAGACGCGGCCGCAGCCTCCCCCTCTGTCCTCGCCGCGGCGCCCGCCCACGGGGGACCCCGTCCGCCTCGGGGAGGGAGACACTCCCGGGGGGGGGCCACCGCACCCGAGACCTCGCATGTATAATTTACACAGGCCGTTTATTAGTGTGCTCTGTTAACATAATTACAATGTGCAACTGCGTACGTCCAGGGTAAACCGCTCCCTCAGGGTCCCCGTGGCGGGACCCCTGTCACCGGGGCACCGTCCTCGTGCGAGCATGCGCCCCGTCGCCTGTGCACCCCCGTCCCGGGCGGCCCTCGTCCTGCAGGGCAGACGGCCACCGCCCCCTGCCCCTCCCCCCCCCCCCCCCCGGGAGACACAGTCGTGCCTGGTGACGCCCGTCCAAGGCCTACGAGGAATGCTTGGAGACGAAGTGCCGGGGCTGGGGGAGCCCCGACAGATGTGCTCTGAGTACTAGCAAACGGATCTCTTTCTGTTTAAAAAGGAGGAGGAGGAGAAAAGAGGAAGAAGGCAAAGAAAAAAGCACCCGGACGCAGGCGCCTGGGAGGGGGCGGAGCTGCACGGGGCGCCCACCGGCGCGACCCTCACACGAAGATGAACTCCTTCTCGGCTTCCTCCCCGGAGTCGCTGGACTTGCTGCCGGGAAGGCTGTCTTTGCTGGGGGGCCACGGCTTCTGCTCGGGGGGCTCCGGGGGCTGCGGGCCCCAGCTCCTCCTCGAGGCTGCAACAGAGCGGAGGGAAGGCGGTCGGCTCGCTGGTGCCCCAGGGAGGGGCTGAGACCAGGACCCCGGGGCCGGGAGGGGCGGGAGGGGGTTCGGCACGGACGTTCTCGGAGACGACTCAGCAACTACACTCCACGGAAGACACTCAGAGACTCCAGACAGAGATGGAAGACAAACCAGCGACACCAGCGGTACACGGGACGGACGAGAACACACGCAACACCGCCGTCCGTGAGGGGGGAGCCTCTTGGAGCGGCAGCTGGGACGCGGGGCGTGAGGACCCCCGGTGGCGAGGACGGCAGGGAGCCAGGGGGCGCCAGGCAGTGGGTGCGCTCAGAAGCCGCCGGGCCAGGCGGCCTGCTGTCGCCTCTGTCACCGCCGCCCCTGCACAGTGGAGGCGCCGGGCGGGCAGCCCACAGCGGCCCTGCAGAGCCGCTGGGCAGGGCCCCCGCCCCAGACCCTGCAGACCGGCTAGGGCCGGCCCCGTCTGCTTGGGACACAGCCAGGAGAGACCCCAGCGGTCTCTGTCACGCCCTTCCGTGTCTCGGAAAACCTGCTTCGCGCTCCACGAGGCGAATCGTCTCGTGAAAACGAATGAAACTGGCTACGTGGTCCCCTCGGAAGCAGCCCCAGGCAGGGGCACGGCCCAGTGGGGGCCCGCTGCAGTTGCGTGGGGACAGGGAGGGGGCCCTGGGACTCCGCCAGGTGCGGAGGCAGCGTCATCGTTGGAGCTGAACCTTCTGTCCCACTGCTGCCGCTCCCCACGGCTGCCCCGGAGGGAGGGCTCCTGGAGACCGGGGCCGGGGCCGAGACGCCCCTCTCCCCGGAGCCCACGCCCCTCCCTGGGGTCACAGCCACTAAACCCGGGGAGGTACAGGGGCCTGGTCCTCGAGGCTGGCCTGGTGCTGCAATGCTCCTCACCAACCGGCCCCAACAGCACTTGCACTGACACTACACCCGCACCCCCGAGAGCAGCTGCCTCCTCGCCCCCCAGTTCCAACGCCCCCCCCGGGACCGCAGACCTGGGGGGGCCCCAGGGCTCGGCTGATGCTCCCGAGCGCTCCGGTGTCCTCACCCACCGGGCGGCAACGCCCAGCCCGCCGGGGCTGGCTGCTCGCATGCTGAGCCCACTAACGAGCGCCTCAGGAAGGGGACGTTCGGGAACCTAATCACCAAAACGCAAACTTAACCGGGAACTTCCGGCAGTCTGGTTGGCTCGGCCAGATCCCGGTCCCCAGACACTGAGAGTTTAAATGTTTAGGTAATCACATCAAACTGAAATTACCCCCAAAGCTGAAAAGGCCAAAGCTTTAAATCTCATCATGAGAGTCATTTTTTTTTTTTTTTACTATGACTTCTTTTCACCCAACGCTTTGGGCAAATTCTCAGACAAGGGAACAAAAGGAATGAATAAATATTATTTTAAAGCATGAATTGGGTTAAAAGTTACATGTTTGAAACTTGTTTACAAGCCAGGTTCTGGGGCGCAGGTAAACACCCCCTGCCGTCCGCCCTTCGCCCCAGGGCCAGGGCGACCTGACTGTGGAGGACCCGGGCGGTCTCGGCTTCCGGCGCCAGCGGGAGGGCGCAGGGGAGGTCTGCGTCTGTTCCTCGGAGACCCTCTGCGGGAATCTGGCCTCCCAACAGCACCACCAGCGAGATCTGCCGAAAGATTGTATCCACCCCCTTTCCAAAGCCAAAGGAAGCTGTTCTTTGAAATCTGGGGACTCAGAAATAGCTGTCCCACATTCCGGTTTCGAGGGAAGGGACGAGCACGGTCACGCACGGCTCCTGGTCTTGCGAGCCAAAGCACTCGCTCCGGCTCTCGGACGGACAGAGTCCGTCCTTCCCAACAAACAGCCCGGCTTCCTGGAACTCCCAGGGTCCCCCATGCTGCGGGGCAGGGCAAAGGGACACTCTCTAAAACTGGAGCAGCTCCTGCAGTCAAAAATGTCACTGTCACGGATAAAGGCCGAGACGGCCCTGGGCCAGGAGCAGGGCAGCGGGAGAGGTGACCTGCAGAGAAATCCACCCCGGGAGCCTCCCTGCAAGAGGCAGACCGGCCTTCGTCCCCGCGCACGTGGCCTGGCTCGGCGCCCGCCGGGGCGGGGACAGGGGGGCACCGCAGACACTAACAAAGAGCTGACTCGCGGCCAGGCCGGCTGCCAGCCCGAGAGCAAGGGGTTTAATTCGTCCGACAGCCACCGAGACGAGTAACGACAGAGGGCTGTCGACAGCGGGCTGTTCTTTCCAGAGGGCTGTCCGAGCAGGTCGCTGCGCGGTGACCCTCCCTGAAAACTCGTCCTAAACAGATTCTGCGTCCTTGGTCAAACTCTCCCAGCCGGGAGTGTGACTGATGACGAGACTGGTCCCCCTTCCCGGGTGGGGAAACCGAGGCACGTGAGATCAGGGGCTGAGGTCACACGAATACCGGGTCACGTCTGGGAGCCGAGGCCCCATCCCCCAGCCTCCTGCCGTCCTGTGAGTCCGGCTCCGGGACGTCCTTCGTCAAGCCCGTGTCCAGCCCCTCAGCAGCGCCGGGCGGCCCGGAGGAGGGGCGCCGGCCACTCTCGCGTGGACGTGGGCTCAGCCAGGCTCCCATGTCATGGGCAGTCTAAACGAGGTATGTCCACTCGAAACTTCAAAGTCTAGAAATGACTTTAACCAATTTTGAGATTCAGACTTTTTAGTAATTCAGAGAACCTTCCCCTAGGCAGCCTAATGTGATGCTTAACTTTACACAGAGCAAAGAAGAAAAAGTCAGATTTTTTTCCCTACTCCGCTCAATGCAAGTTAAAGGCCTGGAATGTTACCGTACCTGTGCCTATAGGCGCATTTATTGCCGCTTCATGTACCATTAAAATTACGTGAGACACGAGCAAGCAGACAGACGATTTGTTCCACAGAAAGTTCGTGTCCCCTCTGCGGTGGCGACAATCGGCCCAGAGAGAGAGCCTCAGGCAAGGAAACCTGTCGTTCCTGCAGGTGGTTTGGGCTTGCATAAATGCAAATGTCTATGCTAATTGTCAAGCTTCTGAAACACGCATATACACTCGGAATTAGACACTCGTCTGAAAATCAGAGTTTTTCTCAATTTTAAGCTCCAATGACATCCTTATTTCCCAGGAGGAAAAATATTGTGATGACCTTAAAACAATATTCAGTAGTCTGCCCAGAGTTTTAGGTTTTCTGGCCAGCCCCCAAAACGCCAACGCACTGCAAATTTCTCGTGAAGAACTCAGGCAGGAGTAGCAGAGCCCAGATCTGGGGGGGGGGAGTGGAGCAGAGCCCCGGCTCAGGACCGCAAGGCAGAGCGAGCCGAGTATCTGTCGGCTGCGGCTGGAGGCTGCAGGACGGAGGCGGCAGGTGAGAAATAAAAGGGACCTCAGAGGGAAATGCACCCCCCCCAGGCCCCGCGCCGCCAGGGCGCGTCACAGTGCACGAGACCAACGGCTGCCTTCACGACGGCAGGACGCACGCACGAGGACACCACAGCACACAGTCAAGGGGGGACGGGAAGTGACACGGGGGGGGCCACAGACGCAGCCACAAACACTTGTAGGAAAAGCGAGCACTTCCCTCGGGAAGTCCACGTGAGAGGAGCCACACCAGGAAAACAAGACGATCACGAGACAGCAGGCAGCGTGCTCTGAGACCGGTCGTCTCCGGGCGGGGGGGTCCGGGGCCCGTGACCGGGGGGAACGAGAAACCCGCTTTGGGAGGTTTAAAGGAGAGAACACACACGGTTTAGTGGGGCCGCCCCGCCGCAGGCTGCTGGTTAGCCACAAACTGCTGGGGAGGCAGACGGACTGCGAGGCGGCTCCCGGGCGGAGGCGGGGCGTGGAATTGGCACGAACAAACCCAAGGTAAAACATCGTACGAAAAATCACGGTCATCGAGGCCCTTGGAAAAAGGACTTTTTTGGTTCCCGGCCACATCTCAAGAAATCAAGGCCAAAAAAAAAAAAAAAAAAAAAAAGGCAAATCCAAGATGGTCCTGTGTCATCCCATCGACACTGGAGGCAGCCCTGCGCCATGAGAAGTGGAACCCGGGGAGGTCATGACGAAAACCTGAGACAGACGTAGGGCTTCTCGCCTTTCCGAGATTCGGGCTGCTCCGCCTCCCTCCCCGGAGGGCGGTCTCTCGGGGCGGGTGGTCCCGAGGCCTGTGTGTGGTGGGTGTGAGGTGCGGGCAGGGCCTGTGACAGGAGGAGCACCGCGTTGCGACAAGGGCGCCCCGGTCGTGAAGTGACGTGAGTCGACGGTTCAAGTGGACATTCCCCAAACCTAGAACCGTCGACGTGACCTTGGGCGTCCTTGTCACAGAGGGCCAACGCAGAGACAGACCGTGCACAGGACACGTCTGCACGCGTCTCTGGTCCTCATCGGTCCTTCCCGAAAACAGCGTCAGGCTGGGTGTCGGGGCCACGGTCTCCAGAGGGCTGGGGTGTAACAGGCGTCCTCCACGACCGTCTGAGCCGATCCGTCTCGCCCTAGCACTAGAGGGAGGAGCGGGGGGGGGCCACGACCTCGGCCACAAGAGCCAACCTGCGTGGTCACGACGTGTGAACGGACAAGCCGCCTCACTCCGAGGTAACCCGGTCGTCCTAAGAAACTCTCCCGTGAGAGGTTCAAGTGAACTTTTTGCCCCAGAGGGAAGGACCATCCTGTTGCCATTTAGGAAAAATAAACAAAAAACCAGGCGTGCGCCTCAGCGCAGCGCCAGGTCAGAAGCCACCCCGGTGCCGCTGGAGTTTGTTGGTGCCAGTTCGCGGCCCGGGCGGCGGGCGCGGCGGGCGGAGGCTCTGACCCTGTGTCGGCTGCGGCTTCCTGCGCCCCGCTGCGTCCAGCTCCTCTTCCGTGGGCGTGAAGGGCAGCTTGGAAGATCTTTTCCCGCGGCTGGAAGGCCGGTCACTGCTGTGACCCAAGTGCCTTTTGTAACACTCTCCTCTTTGCGCCACTGAGGAAGACGGACTCGTTTTACCTTCACACCGGCGAAGACGCCGCCGCGTGGACGCCAACGTGAAAAAGCGTGAACGCTAAGCCCGAGAGAGCGGCTCGCCCACCCCCCTGGCGGGGCAGTCACGGAGCCCACGGCGCCGGTTCCGAACAGAGGGACGTTGTCTGCGGGAATCGGCAGCCAGCGTCGGAAACAGCGTGCACAGTGGGGTGAGCTCGGGGCTGCCCCCCGAGGCGCCCCCGCAAGGCCCCGGGGGCTGGCGTGCACGCCCCGAGGAGCGGGATTTACCTGTTTCAGAAACGAGGCGGGCCGGCTGGTCCACAGGGAGGCAGAGGACAGGGAGGGAGGGAGGGAGGAAGGAAGGAAGGAGGCAGCGTGAATAATGTACGAGGAGGCGGGGACAGCGCGTCGGGGACGCTCTTCAAAGGGAAAGGAGGCCAGGGGCGTCCTCCCTGGGCCGGCGCGGCGGGGAGGCGGCTGGTGGACGAGGGGAAGCCAAGAAGGGCCCAGCGCCCTGGACGCGGCGCGCTGTCCCTGGCCTCTCGGACCCAGCGGCCCCACCGCACCCCGAGCGTGGCCGGCAGCGCGATTCCACGGCCACTCACCCCGGATCCTGGGGCGGGGGGGGGGGCGGTCTCCCATGGTCTGCCTGCCTGGGGAGGCGGAGGCTGGGCCCCTCCTAATGTCTGCTGTCGGGGGAGCGAGAAGGGGGGCCAGCATCTACCCCAGACGTGTGAGGGGCCACACGCTCATTTTAACTTCCCGGGGGAGTGACGGGGACACCGTCTGGGCAGCCGAGGGCAGCGGGCAGCACGTCTCCGACTTTCGTCAGCTACAGGGTGGCCACGCGGGCGCTCCCACGCACGAACCAGACGTGTTGTAACCGCACAGGAAACGTCACAGTTCAAAAACCTGAATCGCTTTTTACTTCACCTTCCAACCTTCCTTCTGAACCCCTCTGTGGTTCAGCTGCTCCGGACAAGGCTTCCCTCCTTACCCCTCCCCCTTGTCCAGGCCTCGTAAGGAAGGGCAGGGAGGGCAGGTGTGGGGGAGGGGCCGTGGGGCCGGGCAGGGTCCTCAGGGACAGGCCCCGGCTCAGGTCACGCCGGCTCAGGTCACGCCGGCTGGCACCACCAAAGCGCCTTCCGATGCCTGCGCGGCGACACCGTGCCCTGAGTTTATTCACCGAGTGCGACAGGAGTCTGTGCGCCGGCCAGCCACCCGCCACGTGACAGGAAGGGCTTTGTCAGCTCTGCTCTAACCCCACCTTCTTCTGCTGAGGGCCCACAGGCGGGCCAAGGTGCGCCTGCCCAATAAACCTGCGGGGCGGGCGGGGGAAGCCAGCAGAGTCAGGTTTGTACCCGACTCCTGACTGCAAAGACAGTACTCGGGGACGCTTCCTGTGGACGGGCCCAGGACCCCCACCAGGGGAAGGAAACGGGCCGGAGGGAGGGAGGGAGGGGAAGAGGGAACACTGGCCCGTGGAGAAGACGCCAGAGGCAAGGGTCCCAAGAACCCCGAGGAGTCAAACAGGCGTGAAACAGAACAAAGCCGCCCGCCCGCCGGAGAGCCGCCTGGGCCTGCTGGTGACGGAGGCTCCAGAACGTCTCCCGGGGAGGGGCTCGGGGACATGCTCACATCACCCTTCGTGAGAGACAGAGCCCGAGGGACAGCCGTGCACTGGACAGAATGAGAGCGAAGAGACAGAGGGTGCCGGGGCCCCCCCAGACACACCTCCAGGGGCCCCCACGCCCGGCCTCTCTCTGGGAGACATGCGCGTCCCAGGGTTGCCTGGCCCCGCCCCCACCCCACGGCCCAGGGAGCAAACGGGTGAGGTGGGGGCCCGAGAGCGTCCTGCCGGCGCCACACCGCTGAGCACGCGCCACAGCCGACCTGGTGACCGAGCGGCACGGCCGCCTGGGCCTGGGCGGCTGCCCCCAGCCACAGCCACGGCCACGAACAACCAGGGGCTGTGTTTCCCGGGAACGGCGGGGCCTGGAACCCCACAGGTGGCACCAGGAACAACTGAGGCCGCCACCCCGGGCTGCGGGGGGCCGGGCGGGGGCACGGGGTGACAGCTACAGACACCGAGACCTCGGGCCGGGGTCCCCAGTGTTCCCGGGGGTCTCCCGTTCCCTACGGGCGTCCTGCACCCAGACCCTGCGTCCCCCCCACCCCGCAGCGCCGCCCAAGGGTCTGAGCCAAGAAGCTGCTCCGGGTCCAGCGTGGAGCCCAAGGGGCGAGACCTCAACGCTGAGCTGTTAGTGACGTTCCAGGTTAATCCCTTCGTCCTGAAGTGAGTCCCCCGGGGGGGTGGGGGGGGGCTGGAGACAAACACCGCCTACCTTCCTGGGAAAAGGTCCTCGGGCTGGGCTGGGGGCTCCCCTGGCCTTCCCGCTCCTTGTCCGAGGGGGCCTTCTTCAGCACGGGAGGCAGCAGAGCCACTTTGGGGGACCCGAGGCTGGGTGGCGAGTCCGGGGCGTCGTCTGCGGGGACAGACACATGAGCTGGGTGCCTCGGGCGCGAGCCGGGCGTCTCTCGGCGCCAGGGACTCGCGGCGCCAGGGACTCGCGGCGCCAGGGACTCGGGGCCGTAAAGGGCATCACAGAATCCTCTGGCCGAACGCCAGGTTCGTGCCCCCCCTCGGCCACTGACGACCAGCACCCACCGACCGCAGCAGGGCGAGCCGAGCAAAGTCCACCCCGGCGGGTCGTCCTGCGGACACAGAGCCCTGGGGGCCGCCGTCTGGCCCCAGGCAGTGAGGGACCCGTGGTCCCTCCTGCCTCGGACGCAAAGGCTGTCCGGCTTCCGCCACACGCGTGAGACATGCAGCCCACTCACTGCCTTCTCCCATCGTCCAACCCACAACCGTGGTCATGGCACACACGTCTGTGCACACATGTACACATATGTGCACACGGAGACCACGCAGGGCAACTTTGAAGCATGGACTTCGGCCGCCAGAAGGGCCCTGGGGTCCCCGGACAAGCGAGGCGATGAAGGGACCCCGGGGCTGGAGGGGGACCCTGCAGCCGGAGCAAGTGTCCTCATCCCCCGGGCTGCACTGCTCGTCCCTGACGGACGGACGGACGGAACTGCCCCGTCCTCTGCTCAGCTACCACACTCGCATGTGCATGTGTGTGTGTGAGCACTCGCATGGTGGTGCATCACACGTGCATGAGTGTGCACACCTGTGTGTGTGTGGTGTGGCACACAGGTGGTGTGTGCATGTTCCCACATGTGTGCATGTGTGTGTGGTTGTGTGCATGTGTCATGTTCCCAGGCATGTGTGCACACACACAGTGTGCGCAGCGGATGGCCTCTTCCGGGTGCCCCTCGGCGGGGTGGGCGTCTGAAACGCCCACTGAACTCCGACCTCCACAAGAACATCCGCGTGTTAACACGGCGTCCGCGTACAATGTACCAAGAACGCCCAGCACTGTGCACACCCGGTGGCCCAGGCCTGCCACGCCCTGTCCTGCACCCCAAACCCGTCCCCCAATACGGGGTGAGCACAGAGCAGCACACACCCTCCCTGTCTGCGGCCCCACCCTCTGGCTGCCACCCCCGGGGCTCTGTCCACCGCGGACGGGCCAGGACGCTCCCCGAGTCTCCCCCTGAGGCCGGCAGCCCCTCATGCGAGGACAGTCTGGGTCGGCGGCCTGGGCGCCGAATAAACGCAACCCGCACCCCACTGTCACTCCCCCTGACGGCCTCTGCACTTTCTCAAGACCCCCACAGGCCCTCCCAGCCCAGCCACCCTGGGAAAAGCCCCCCGGGGCCAGAGCCGCCCCCCCACCAGCACGGCCTTACCAGCCCGCGAGGCGGTCCTCGGCTTCTGCGGGATGGCCGGCCGGGCCGCCAGGCTGGGCCTGGGCGACTGCAGCGCGGGCTTGGGGTTGGAGGCGCTGCGGGCCCGGAAGCCCGCGTCCACTCGGGGGTCCGCCTTGGCGTTCTTCTCTGGGGACCCCAAGCTGAAGCGCGTCTCCGGAAGGGCGGGCTGCAGTTTAGGCCCTGAGGGGACACGGGACACAAACCAGCTTCCCTTCAGGACTCAAAGGGGAGGGGACCCGATCCCGGAGGGGGGGGGCCCGGGCCCAGACGCCGTCCTGCCATGGTCAGCTGTCGGCACAGCCGCGCTGGAGCAGGCACGCAGCGGGCAGCCTGCGTTCCCGGCCTCCGACCACGAATCACTGCGCTGCTGACCAGCGCCACGCGGGTCGGCCTGCAGGCCCCCGCGGTGTGCCCAGAACACGGTCCCCCCCGCACGGCGGGGGCTGGGGCCCGCCGGGACTCGGCCAGCTGCAGGGCGCCCATCGGCAAGGGGTCCGCCCGCAGGTCCCGGGTCAGGACGGCCCCCCCAAATCACACCCCCCAGCCCACAGTCTGGGAGTTCTTCTCAATGAGCTCCCTCCCCTGGGGAGGGCTGCCCTGTCCGGCCACAGTGGTGGGGGACGTGCCCCACGAGGCCGGGGCAGGGGGCGGCGCGACAGCCCGACGCTGGGACGGCTGGGACAGCAGAGGCCGGCCCCTGCTCCGCCCACCCCTCTGCCTGCCCGTCAACCCCGTGCGGCCCCGCAGCAGCGGCAGGAGAGGGGTTTCCTGGGCCGGGGCGCCCGGCCGACTCACCTGCCCCACCGCCGTCCAGCTGCTCCGAGGTCACGGCCGGGCTGGGAGGCTCCTGGGAGGCGGCGGCGTTCCCGAGCTTCTGAAACCCAAGCCCCCCCCGCAACAAGAGTGCCTATTAACTTCAGGTTTAGAGGAGAAGGAAGCAGACAGCAATAACGAGAGCAGGGAAGGGCTCTTTAACTGCAGGGCTGTCGGGGTGGCGGAGTCCGGCCCCTCCCTGGGGCCCCTGGGACCCAGCTCTGAGGGGCACGTTCTGTCCGGTGTCCACGGTCAGGGCGTGGCCCCCCCCGGGGATGCGCCCACAGGTGACACGTGTGTGGGATCGGGGAGGCCACTGGCCTCGGCGACACGTCCCGTTTCCCTTGCTGAGCTCTTGCCTGGGCTCAGCCGCCCCCGCCGCCCCCTTCCCGGGGGCTCCGCCGCTGTGAGTTCGGGGACCCACTCCAAGCTGGGCTCCAAAACTCCAGGCACAGCAGCAGCAGCAAAACCTCGGCAACGCCAGTGCACGGAACTGGTGGCGGGGGGGGGGGGCGCCCAGGGCAGGCGGGGGCTCCGGTGCCACGGAGGCAGCGCCCAAGGCCCGGCCGTGGCGTTCCAGCGGCGGCGGATAAACACAGGCAAACCGGCCGGGATTCGGCACACACTACACCTGGGCACGTGGCCCGGGAGGACCCGGGACGGAGAAGCCAGACCGGCGCTGGGGGCACTCGGCCCGCCAGGCGGCCCCAGGCCCGGCCCTGCCCTGTCTCGGCGGGTGGGTGACAGGTGGCGCCTGCCCACTCTCAGCGCTGTCGCTCCAGGTGCACGTGTTAACAGAGAGCAGCGTGAAGAGGACTCCTCAAGAGGAAGGTGAAGGCGACATGTGTCTGTTTTTTATCGACAGTCGATTCACCACCCCTGCTCACGGTGCTAACTTACAAAAAACACAGTCATGGGATTTTAGGGGACAGCACTATACAGCTAATTTTTGAAAGGCCTTTTCTCACCACTTTATTGTTCTACTAGAGCGAATGCCCCTGGCTGATTGAAAGTTTAGGCTCGTACTAAGGGTCTTGACCATTGTCGTCGTTTTAAACAGACACCAGGTGGCGCTGCGAGGCCGCCAGTGTGGACGGCGAACAAACACCGGACCAGAACTGTGTCGCTTGGAGTCTCTTTCTGTCCCGAGCCCAAAGCCCTTGGAAAAAGCCCCCAGCGTGGCCCCTCCTCCTCCCCAAAGGCAGCCCCTGGCCGGTGGAAACAGCCATTAGACAAACAAGCAGCCCATCAGTGAACACAGCTCCCTCGCTGTCCTGAAGAAATCCCACGGAACAGGCTCAAGTCTGAGCTTTTCCCGTAAGGACACGGTCCCAGCGTTTACTCCAAGCGTGACCGGTGCAGGCCATCACACTCAGAGTGTGTCCTCAGAACAGGGCGGTCAGGTGCCCCCGTCCGCTCTGCCCCGACGGAGGAGCGATCGGTGGCCGGGCGTGGCCAGACCATGACGGGGTGGACGGACAGCTGCACCGACGGCGGGGGCGGGGAGGATGGACGTCGTGAAAAGGCCCCCAGGTGTCTGGAGGTCGCCTGAACAGCCCTCCCCGCCCGGAAGGGTTCCCCATTTGCTCTCTGAAGACTGAGGGTGTGCTGGGGTGGGGGGCTGCCCCCCATAAAAGGGGGTGCCAGCTCCCTTTCCCTGGAGAGCCCAGGTCCGAGAACTCAGAGGGCCTCAGAGCAAACGGGGGCCGAGGGTGGGCACCGGACGGCCGGTGACCACACAGCCCTCCCAGCAGCCGCAGGGGAAACGGGCAGAGAGGGAGGAAAAAGTCCCCACTGACACCTTGAAAACAGGGTCAGGGAATAAACAAACAAACAAATAAATGATGCACTGAGTCAGACTCGGACAGCAGTCCACCCACCCACGGTTTTTACCCCGAGAGATGTCTCTTCACAGGGACAGACGGCCTGTTGGGGTCAGGGGGTCGGATGAGCTCCCGCGGGAACACCTGGACTGTCCCTTCTTTCGACTTTTAAGGCGGGCACAGAGCCGGGGGCTCAGGCTGGACGGAGGTGAGCTGGGACGTGAGCAGGAAGCGGGCCCACGTGCCTGCAGTCAGAGCCCGGTGTCCGTGCTTTACCTCCAGCCGCCCCCGGGGGGCCCCGGGGCCCCGGGACGGGGCGCTCAGAGCGCCCTCAGGTCTGGGGGTCCCCGGGGGCGGCCGTCCGTCCGTCACACGGGCCTGTCACAGGTGCCACCCACGACCGACGTGGGACACTGTGGCTCTCAGGAAGCACGTGGCCCAAACGCCGTTTTTTTTCTTTAAGGAAAAAACCCCTCGGTTTCTGGGTTTCATTTCACCGAAACGCTACTTTGTGCGCCCGTCCCCACGGGGCGGGGCGGCGTGCCCGCGGGCCTCACCTTGTGCACACAGGCCGCCCGGCGCTCCTGCTTGGCCTTCATCTCCGCCAGCAGCCCGCTGCCCATCACCTGCACCCCGTACCGCCGGCCGCCCTGGGGGCTGCCCCTGCCGTCCCCGGGCTCCGGCCGCCCCGCCTCGTCCGCCGCCGGGCTCTCGTCCGCGGCCTCAGGCATCCCGGTCTCCTCCGCCCGCTCGGAACCGCCGTTGTGCTCCGCCGGCCGCGAGTCCCGCCTGGGCGTGTCCCCGGCCGGGCCCCGGACCGCGCCCTTGGGCGAGGACGGCTCCTCCGCCATCAGCACCGTCGGCGGCCGCTCGGGCTTGGACCGGGGTTTGATGAGGTTGAGGAAGCCGCTCCTCCGGGACTCCCGCTTCTTCTTCTCGTCGCCCCCCTCGCAGAGCTCGGGGGGCTCGGGGCCCCGCACGGACGACCTCCTGTGGGTCAGAAGAAGGGACGCTGCGGGCCAGACCAGGACTCCCGTCGCCGCCAGAGTCGGCCCGAAGGTCAAGGCGGGGCTGCTGCTCCTGTGGCGGGCGTCCCGAGTCTCCGGGGGGCGGGCGGGAGTCCCTGCGCCCAGGAAACAGAGGGGGAGCGGGGGCAGCACCCCCACCCCCGGGGGGGGCCACTCAGGACCACGTGGGCGAGGACCAGCAGGGTGGGCGGGCCGGAGCTCCAGACTCGGGGGCCACCGCCGGGTGGACTCCGGGGCCCAGCGATGCCCCCGCAAGCCCCTGAAGTCCTTCCCCGATGGTCGGGCCGCACCTGAAGCGTGACCCAGAGGGCGGGCTGGTCCTCGCCTCTGACCACCCATGGGGGGTGGGGCAGCCGAGGGGAAAGGCAGAGGGCGGGTGTCCCCACGGTCACCGAGACGATGTGAGCACGGGGCGTTGCGGGGACCCGCCGCTGTGGTGTGACCCGGCGGGCGGGAGAGAGGAGAGTGTGCGTGTGTGCACGTGTGTGTGTGAGTGTGCACACGAGTGAGAGTGAGTGTGCTGCCTGTGTGTGTCCCGTGGGCAGCGGGAGCTACACTACCGCCCTCTGGAGTAAGGAGTCACTGATCACAGTTACCCTCTGAAGCTGGGAGCCAGGGAACTGAGTTGTTAAGGGATCTGGAGGCAAAACACAACAAACATCTGAGGGAACAGGAACGGCCTGGCGCTGGGAGCAGGGAAAGAAACAGGGAGGTGTTTTTTTTTTTGGTCAAAAGCCTTAAAGGGCATCTGACATTCTGAATCGTGAGCACGTCCAACTTCGATCCCCAAACGCCCTTCGCCCACCTCGGGGCCCGGCCCTCCGCACACCTCGGCGAGCGCGTCCACGTGTGTCTGTCCGGGGCCGGGGCCGCTCCCCCCGCCCTGGGCAGCGCCTTTGCAGACCCAGGACTTCGCACCTTGGACGGTGTGACCAGCTGCCGTCCTGAGCGCCTGGCCAGGTCGCCCGAAGGCGCGGCGGTCGCCCCGGGGCAGGGGAAGGGCTCGCAGGCTCCGAGTCAGATGCAAAGTGACCCCCCGCCCCCCACAACTAGCTACAAGCCGCGTCCTGAAGCTCAGGAAGAAAGAGCCCTCGGTGGGACCCGCAGCTCACAGGACCCCCCCCCAACCCCGCGGTGACCGTGGCCGACCGTGACTGTCTCACCGGCCGTGTCGCAGACCCTGGGGTTGCCCAGTCGGCTGCAGGGGAGTGGCCCTCCACAGGGAGAGTAAGACGTGGAGGCCAGTCAGTCAGCGGGACCCCCACGCCCGCCATGTGGCCCCGCGTCAGCTGGCATTGCTTCAGTCTCCGACACGGAGAGTCCGCTCCCCCATCCCCCGAGCTGGGGAAAACCACCGTCCCGGACTCCCCACGGACCGTGCGCCCTCACGCAGGCGCGGGGCACGAAGACAAAAGTGTCCAGTCGGCCGCAGGGGGCGGGGGCGCAGCCACCGGAGGGCCTCAGAGAATAAACGGCACTTCAGTTGGTGCCTAGAATTCTCCCCAGGACAGCGGGCCACCCTCCCAGGTCAGAGGCAAACTACTGGGTCCCGAAGCTCAGAGCGTTCGCTAGGCCCCCGCGCCGCCCTGCCGAGGCGAGAAACGGCACCCCGACCCTCGGGAACTGGTGGTTCCTCCCTCCCGGCGCCCCCCGGCCCCGCCCCCCGGCTTGTCGGGCGGTTTCAATGCCTTCCAGACGGTGGCATCGCAAGGGGAGGAAACCTCAGACACGAACCCGGGTCAGGAGTGTTTGGGGGTGGATCTGCCTCGACTGAGGGTCCCTCCCAGACCAGCACCGTGGTCCTCAGTCCCGGCTCCCCCCTCCGACCTTCTCGGCCGGCAGGTTGGGGCCCAGCTGAGGCCAGGAACTCGCCTCTCTACCTCGGGCCCGGCTGGTGGTGAGGCTGCTGGCCGGGAGACCCCGCTTTGCAAACCAGCAGAGCAGTGGGTCCCGTCGCAGAAATGTGCCCCCGGGCGAAATACACGGGCCCCCGGTGACGCGGTTGGACTGTCGGGTTCGCCAGCAGAGTGCGAATTAAAGCGCGTCAGGAGTGCCCGCTCCTACTCACATCTTGGTCACCTTCTTGGTGAAGAACTCGTCGACCCCTTCGTCCACTCGGCCCATGAGGCCGTTCTGCTCGCCATCCGGGGCCGCGGGGGCGGCGGCGCAGACCTGCAAACCAGACGGGGCGGCGCTGACGGGAGGCGGGGACCCCGGGGGCACCGGGCACGGGTCCGAGGCACTGCCCTGCGGCGTGGGGACCACAGACTGAGGGACGGGCAGGAGCCACGCGGCCACGAGTGACGAGGGCGGAGCGGACGAGGGGCACGGGAGGGACGGGGGCCTGGCGGGGGGGGTGTCTCGGCTGCTGGCGCCTCACAAGCAGCTCGGGCCCAACAGGCTGTGAAGTGACGGCTGTTTCTTTTCTTTGTTTTTTTAATCCTCCCCCGAGAACACGTTTTACAGATTTTAGAAGGAGAAGAGAGACAGAGAAACATCCGCTGATCGGTCGCCTCCTGTACACACCCAACCGGGGTTCGAACCTGCAACCTTCCCGTGTGCAGGCCGATGCTCCCACCCACGGAGCCACCCGGCCAGGGCCCTGGGCTGTGTGGCCGTCACCACGGTTGGCTCCGCAGACCTGAAAGTGCACCAGCGCTGCCTTGTGGCAGCGAGAGGCCCAGAGATCTTTCTCTGACCCCCAAGACCCGGCAAGGAGGGCGCTTCCCTGCCAGCGCCGTGAAGGGGTGTCATTCTGAAACCCAAACGGGACCGACCGTCTCGACAAGAAAAGGAGAAGAAGGACAGGCCCCTCGCACGGATGCACAGAGCTGAGAAAACCCCAAGGAGAACACCGGGACGGGTGAAAGCACACGCAGTCCCAGTGTGGCCTGGAGCCCTCGGAGGCTGCGGGCCGAGGGCCAGCTCAGCGCAGGGGGGCGGGGGCCCTGGGGGGGGGGGACTGAGTCTGCTCAACCCTAGCGAAACCACACGCCAGCAGACAGATCACGGGTGATGGGTGACGTCACGTGCTCGCCGCTACTAAAGATGGGGGATGAAGCCGGACCAGCCACCTGCTCCTCCTCCTCCTCCTCCTCCTCGGCTGCACAGGGGGCTGAGGGTCCAGGGGACCCTCTCGGAACTGCTCCGGGGGCCAGCGCATTGAGAACCGCAAACGCAGCGACATCCTGAGGCAGGGGGTTCTCGCTGTGAACCCCGGGGTCCAGCACCCCAGGCTCGGGAAGAGCTGGGTCTGTGCAGACAGACCCCCGGCTGGACTCGCCGCCCGGGACGCCGCCCGGCTGGCCGGGAGACCCCCCCACGCTCCTCCACCGGGCTCCGCCTCCCGCCCCTCCCTCCTTTCCTACTTTGTAAACGTATAAAAGCGCACACCGTCCTCCTTCCCCGCCTCTGCCTCCTTTCACGTCTAAACCGGACCACGAGTGCCCCTCCACGCGGAACGGGCCGCAGAGGAACTGTGTACTCGGTAACCTTCTAGAACCTTCACCTTCGCCCGCCTGAGACGCGCTCTCCCCCACTCAGAAGGAACAAGGGAACTACCCCTCCCCCGCACGCCCCCCCCAGCCCCGTGTCTCACAGGCACTGAACTCCCGGGCTGGGGGGGCGGGGGGACGAGCTAAGAGAGGAAGCCGGTCCCCGGTTTGGGAGCTGCTGGCCCGAGGCGCCCGGGGACAGGCCAGCGCAGGGGCGGGTGAGTCTGGAGCCCGGCAGAGGGCGGGGGTCATCACCCAGGTGGGGGCCGCGGGTTGGACGGCAGCACCCAGACGCCTCACTGAAGGCCGGGCTGCAGGGGCGGGGGTGGGGGGGTGGGGACAAAAGCGTGTCGACTCTGAGGCCGCGGAGTCGCCGCTCAGGATGGAGGAGCCGTCTCGTCCGGTGACGGCCGACACCAGGGGAGATGCGACGTGTCTGCGGGACCAGGCCGGGAGGGGCCGGGCCGGGCAGCTCCGGGTGGGCGGCTCAGAATGGAGAGTGCGTTCAGAGCAGGGGTGGGAAGGAGACCATGGGCCAGACAGACTGATTCAAGAAGCCCGGCTACACGAGAGAGGACTCGTGGACCAGGGAGGGACACGCGGGGCCGGTGTGGCCCCGGCACACACACTCCCGTCCCGTCTGCCGGGGACCCACGGCTCCGGTCCGGGCCGCCGACGGCAAAGGCGCCAGAGCAGGTCGGCACGCGGGTCGGTGGGGCACAGGCAGCCGCCCCCAAGCCAGCCGCCAGCGATGCCGGCTCACGCACAGGTTCCTGGCCAGAGAGTTTGGGCACTTTTACTCCCGGATGCTGTCACCCTGCACGCGGGCGGCCTGCTCGTCTCGGCCACGTGACGGGCGTTTTCCTGGGGACCCCCGAGGGCAGCCCGGCTCTGAAGAGGCGGGGCCCACGGTGCTGCCTTTTCCAAAACCCTCGAGCAGCACCACGGGGGGCTCCTCTGCAGCGCCCCCGCCGGCCCCCCACCTACCGCCGCCTGGGTGGGCTGCTGCTTCTTGTGGCGCCGCGGCCGCAGCTTGGTGAAATGCTGCAGCTTCCTGCCCTCCTCGGAAGGCAGCTCCGCGATGAGGCCCGAGCCCCGCCTCTCCGGCCGGCCGGGCGGGTCCTCCACGTGGATGGGCACGTCCTCCAGCGCCTTGTCCAGGTCGAACTCCATCTCTGCAAGAGAGCAGAGCCCGGGGCCACGCTCACACGCAGAGACGGACCGCAGGTCCTGGAGGCGACTGGGGTCCCTCACGGAAGGGCCAGCGGCCACCCGCTGGTCGCCCGGCGGTCTCGGCGGCGGCGGGCCCAGAGCCCCCAGCAGGTGCGAGGCCCTGGGGTGCGGGGGTGGGGGAGACGGCCAGACACTCACCGAAGGCCCTGGAGACCGGCCGCAGCATCCGGCTGTGGATCGTCTTCCTCTTGGACTTGGGGGTCATCTGGCGACAGAACACAGGGGGCGCTGAGTCCGGTGTCCGCCCGAAACGCGCCCCTCACACTTCGGGGACATGCAGGACCCGCCGTTCCACCTCCTGGGATGACGGGGGGCACCCGGGGGCAGCCTGACGGAGAGGACGGGACCCACGCGTCCCCAACTCGGAGTGTTGTCCCCAGCACCCCACCCCGGCCGGCCACCCCCCGACCCAGGACCCGCTCTGCACCGCCGGGAGGGTGTCCAGATGCGCATGGAGTCGGAGGCTGCGAGGCTGTAAAATCAGTCCCTGAAACCCGGGAACAACGATTCACTCTGCGTCAGCACGGCGACGTCGGCGTCAGCGGCCGACTCTCGCCTTGGCCACCGCGGCGATTGCCGGGCCCGGTTCCCGTCTCGGCCGCCCAGATTTTCACCTGTCCGCTGCGGGCCCGGAGCGTGAGGACTCAGCGGGGTGTGTGTGTGTGTGTGTGTGTGTGGGCTCTCGCTTCTCGGAAAGCTGTAATTGGCCCCGCCAGGCCCTTAAGACACGGGACCAGAACCGGAACTACGGCCAAAAGGTCAGGAAGGCACTTGTCCAGCGAGGGCATCATGTCAGCTGCGGGCCCCCCGCTTCCCCCTCCGCAGGGTCTCCCTCAGGTCAGAGACCGAGGGGCTGCCGTCGTCAGCCACACAGATCCAAAGGAGGAAACCGAGTCACAGAGACGGTGGCGGTGCCCCGGGCAGATGCAGGCAGGAGGGGCCGAGCCCCTCCTACCCCGCCAGCCGCCCGCAGACCCCGGCGGTGGGTTTCGGCGACGTCTAGCTGGCCCAGCGACACTGGAGACGGGTGTTTGTGTAAAGGGGCGCAGCGCGCAAACGCTGGAAGGGCACACGCTAGTGCATCTTCATCACCGTCCTCCCTTCCACGGGGTCTTCACACACCCGTGGGTCCTGCAGGTGTGCCCGGGGTGAGGTCACAGCCGCGTGACACGGTTCTGTCATCACCCACTGCCTGCCTCCCGGTCTCCTCCTTCCGTGGGGCTTCAGGACGGCCGCGGGGAGAAAAGGATGGTCCTTCCTTCTCCCACACCCTCCCTTCCCTCCCTGAGAATGGGCCCTTCCGTGACAGGGGCTTGCTCAGCCCCGCTGGCTTATCCCTGGGTCCCTGTGACGTGCCAACCAAATGCGAGGGGAAACGGCGGGTGGGTGAGCTGGGTCACCCCTCCCCCCCATGTCCACAGGGAGCCAGGGCCCTGGTTCTCCACGAGCCGGTTTGCGGCGCCCCCCGCAGCCCAACCCTGCGGGGAGCTGCTGCCATCCAGGAGAACCTCCGGCCGCTCCGTCCTCCGTGGAACCGGAACTCTCTTCCCTTTTTGCACCAAAACGAAAGGGCGAGTTTTCCCAGCCTGTGTCTGCATCCTCCTCCGCCTTCCCCGACCTCTGGCTGTCCCCGCCTGCGTGTTGTCCGGTCGGGGACATCACGACGGGCCCATCCCGGGGGGGCAGCACTGAAGTGGAGGCGGTCACCCCACAGGCCACCTCACAGGTCGGCCTGGGCTCGTCCCCTTGTCCCCGCCCACCACTGCCTCCGGCCCGGACGGAGTGGCTTCCTCTTCCAAAGTGCTCTCACTCGTAGTGAGAGGTGATGTTTCAGTTCACCGCTTCCGGGCCCCTGAGGAACACAGTGTCACACCCTTCCGAACGTGGCTGCGGAGGGAAACGCCCTAAACACGGACCCCCGTCCCGTTCCGACGTCACAGACCAACCACCGAGAGTGTGCAGGCGAGGGTGGGCGCTGGGACTGAAGCCCCCGGCCCTGTCCCTCCGCAGCCCGGAGCCCCGAAACCTCACCCTTCTGATCCAGTTTTCCTGACGGGTCCAACACTGCCCCCCCCGCCCCCCAGAGCTCCTCAGCAACGTGCCCCTTGACCCCGAGGGAAGGACGAACTCCAGAACCTCACACACAACCGTTATCCCCCACCAGACCCACTTCTAACACGCACTCCCTAGACACGCTGGTTTTTTTAAAAATCGAGAGTTAAATTGTTTCTATCGCCACAAAAACAGGATGGAGTAGTTTCCTTCTTCATTTACAAGTTCGCCCAGAGAATAATAAACACCGCCCCCCCCACAGCTGCACACTCGAGAATCCTAATCACTGTTCTCTCCCGCGAGGTTACCCAAACACGCTGGTTACAGACGCACCGGAGCCGCTGCAAAGCAGCCTAGTAACCTTCTCCTAACGCGGGACGGGGCTCGCGCTGCCCACGGCCTGCGCCCTGGAAAACCAGCAGAATGGAAAGCCGAGGTCCTCACACTTGTCCCCCCCACAACGGTGCAGGAAGCACCGACCCCCTCCCAAAGGTTGACGCCCTCCCCAGTGGCCCCGCTTGCTTGCAGCCCAGGGCTGGGGCGCTGGACACCCACGGCCGGTGTCCTGGCTGCACCGTCTCCGAAACCCAGTCCCGCGGGCAGGTCGCTGCCTGTGGCGTCCAGGGCCTACGGGCGGGGGCGGGGGCGGCGGGGCAGCGTCCTGGGACGCGGCCAGGCGGCGCAGAAGCAAGCGGACGGCAGAGCGCAGGCCCGGGCAGCCGGGGACAGCAGAGCCGCCGAGTACTTACACTTGAGCAGCAGAGGGTCTCCAAGCAGCAAAAAGAAAGGGAGAGAGCGTGAATGGAAGAGGAGACGAGCAGCAGCGTTACAAGGACGGGCGGGGGGTGGGGGGGGGGAGCAGGGGGCAGGGGGAGCAGGGGGCAGGGGGAGGGCAGGGGGCGGCATTCCCAAGCACACAGAGCAGCCTCAGAGGCCTCGGGAGCCGAGGGAGGAGGCAGGACCGCGGCCAGAGCGGGGCGAGTGCAGGGCCTTCACGAGCCGAAGCTCCATCGCAGCTCCGAACCGCAGCACCCCCAGACACGTCACCCCGTCGGCTGACTGTGTGCACGGCGCCCTCGCCCGACCCCGTGGGGGGCGGGGGGGCGAGACCCCGTGCTGGGGGCGGGGACCGCGTGAGCTCCGCAGGCGCACGGCACACGGAGCACCTGCTGCGTGGACATCAGCCGACTCCGGGGGGGGGCTCCGGACCCGGCCAGGGCGGGTCCCGGGAGCAAAGCGGGGGCGTCCCTGCCGGGGTCCCTGCCGCCATCCGCGCCCCCGCTGCACTTCCGGGTGAAGCAGCCTCGAACCCGCGCAGGCGCCCAGGCCCCGGGGAAGGACGTGGGCCAGACCCCACGCGGCCACCTGCCTGCCTGCCGCGCCGCGCACCTTAGGGGGAGCCCGCACGTCACGCCGACCCCCCGACTGACCAGACGGCCTGTCGTCACGAACGCTGTCAGGGCATCTTCTTCCTGTTCGAGCACGTCGGCTCCCCAGTCTGGGGGCGTGGGACCGGCGGGTGGGACCGTTCCCAGCACAGGCCCCCGCCCCCACCCCCACCCCCGCCAGCACCACCGCCCCCGAGCCTCCATCCCCGAGACCCCCGTCTGTCAGCAGCGTCCCGAACGTCTCGGTCCCGGGGCGTCCAGCCTCGTACTTTCTTAGGGACCCTCCCTCAAACAGACCTCGTTCCACGGTCCGTGACATTAACTCAGAAATAGCCTTGCCGCACGAAAGGAGGAAAAGAGTAACATGCATTTTCAGATGTTCCTGAACCGTGGGAAACACGGGTCTCCGCCCCTTTAACTCGCATCCCCCCGAAAACCCCCGCAAGGCGGGGCCCAGGGGCCAGCCTGGGCAGCCTGGCTCTGGGTGGGCCCCGAGGGTCAGACCCCCTTCCCTCCCCTCCCGAGAGGCTCACCCGGCCACGAGACAGGCCAGCGCCCCGGCACAGGAAGGGGGGGGACCCTCCCAGCGGCTCAGCTTCTAGAAGGGCCCGGGGGAGGACAACCACGGCAACCGTGGACCCCACTTCCCAGTGGAGGGAAGACCCCCAGTTGGCTCCTCGGTGCCCGCACAGCAAGCTGACCGACGTCCCCGTCAGGACCGGGGAGGGGCAGACAGAGAGTGAAGGGAGGTCACCCCATCTCTCGAGCTGGTGGCTCGGCTGCCGGGGACGGAGTCCAAACCCTGGACCTGCCACTTCCGGTCGGCGTGGTCGGGTGGTGGGGCTGTGGCCGGGGTCCTCGTCCCGTCAGAGCTGGCCTCCCGGTCCGTGAAACACGTCGTCTGTCCTCGAGAGCAAGGTCAGGAGTCCAAGGTGCTCAGCCCAGAGCCGGGGACAGCGCCCCCCCGGCGGCCACCCAGCGCATCACAGGCCGGTGGTGACTGGAGCACAGGTGACGCCGTCCCGCTGTGGGTCCTCCGTCCCGCTGTGGGTCCCCGTCGTGGGACGAGGTGAGAGCAGCTTCGTGAGGAAAGGGCAGCCGGTTCTGTCTCCTCCCTGTCTGCACCCGGAGCCCGAACAGGGAGAGACACGAACGGGGCCCAGAACCCGCCGTGAGGGAGGAGGGGCCGCCCCGGGGTCAGACACCACCGCCTTCCCCGGGCGTTCTGAACGGGAGAAGCTGTCGTCTTCGCCACGCGGGGAGCTCGGGCACCGAGGTCACATCCAAACACTGTCCTTCTCGTCAGATGCACCTGCTTCCGCGAGAGTTTTCTCCGCTGTCCTCGTGCCCCATCTCGTGTTAGACGGACGGAAACTTCTTCCCCGTGGGCCCTGGTCGCTCACGGAGGTGTCCACCCCTCTGCCCAGCACACTTACCAGAGACACCTCACTCTTTCTGCCCCAGCTAGCCATTCTAAACATTCCCAAGTTTACCAGAAATACAACAAATAAAAGGTGTAAGGATAGTATAATACATGCAAGCAGGCTCTTGATGTAGACTCGTAATTATTAACGTTTGGCAGTGTTACTTTATAGGAAATTCTCCGTTGCCAACTAATTTTGAATGACATCGAGACTTAACAGTCTGAATTTGGAATTACTATTCAGACATTAGTTCAATTAATAACTGTTGGTTCTTGAAAATGAGGTGATTGGTCTCAAAACAGCATTTAGTCAAGACCAATGAATGCTTGCTGAATTTTAACCTGCATTTAAAAAAATTTAAAACTTTTACATTGAGCCCTGGCTGATGTAGCTCAGTAGACTCAGCTCAGGCCTTGCAAACCAAAGGGTCGCCAGTTCGAGTCCCAGTCAGGGCCCGTGCCTGGGTGGTGGGCCAGGTCCCCAGTTGGGGGCACGTGAGGGGCAACCACACACTGATGTTTCTCTCCCTCTCTTTCTCCTTCCCTTCACCTCTGTCCAAAAAATAAATCTTCAAAAAACTTTTTTTACATTGAAATCTGCGTCTGAATTTGTTCAGGGAAAGTCACCGTTGTTTTGTCATCGGAGAGAGGCCTCCCGCGACGTGCCCTGTAAAAACTCAAGGCCCCCGCAATCCCTTCCCAGGAAGCAGCAGCGCGTCCCCGGCCGCTTCCCAGCGGGTGACTTCGAACCGCTCAGACGCGCAGTGCGACGCGGGAACGGCTCTCCAGTGAGCCGGCGGTGCGTGAGGAGCACACTCGCTGGACCCTGGCCTTGTGCCACTTTTCAGACCCCATCGAGTGGCAAATGCACCCCTGGGAGAAGCTGATCAGCGGGATGGGACCCGCGTCCTCCGGCACCCGCAGGGCCGGCCATGGCCCACAGCCGAGAGGCCCACACTCGGCCTAGGGACGGTGCCGGCTCCCGGCACACGCACGTTCCAGCGCGACACGCGGGCGCGTGTGCCGGGGTGAAGAGACGCATCTGGGGAGCGGACGAGTCACTGCCACCGGCCACACGGCCGGCCGGGCGGCCCGGGGCGCTCCCGGGAGGCCGGCCGTGGGCAGACTCGCCTCAAACAGCTGGAAACAGCGGGACCTGTCGCACTTCTGACCCGGGCTCTCCCGACGGCGCTCAGAGACGGCTCGGGCCCGCACTGAGGCTGGACAGCTGCGCACCCTTCCCGCGAGGTTCTGTCTCCACGCTGCTCTGTCTGGTGGCAGTGCGGAGACGGTCCGCATGGAGCGTGAACTCCAGTGGAATCCAACTCGCAATTTCCCTCGGCCGTAGAGCAAAGAAGCCCCCAGGACGACCACATGCCGTCTCCGGCAGGCTCAGCTCCCAGCCACCCGCACGCGGGCGACCCAGGCACCCTGGGCGAGCCGCTTGAGTTTCCTGGGCCTCGGTCTCCTCCCTTGTGCAACAGAAGCTATTCGTACCCCTAATCGCTCCTAGGTCGTCACTATTCATAGACTCGCGAGAGCGCCCGGCAGGTCAGGCCTGGTAGAACGTGGACTGAATGCGTGAGAAGACGTTTAAGTCACTTTGGGATGCCCCTAGGGAAGGGGTCCCGGGGATTTGGGCGGCAAACAAACATTTTAGGTTATAATGAAATGACAGCATCTCCCAAAGCAGCACCCCGCTCCGCATGTCGGGGGCTCCCAATTCCACGTGGGAAAAGCAAGTCCCTGTGCACGCAAGCACCCACCTGCGCTTCCGAGCATTTCCCACACACGGAACAGCTAATCTCGTGTCCGCACTTCACATGCCACGTACGGTGTAAATGCTACCAAGGAAAGCTCATTTAGAAACCCAAAGCAAGCCCTGGCTGGTGTGGCCCGGTGGATTGAGCGCCGGCCTGCGAACCAAGGGGTCGCCGGTTCGAATCCTGGTCAGGGCACATGTCTGGGTTGTAGGCCAGGCTCACGGCACATTCAGTGAAACGTTCAGTTTTCCTCTGGGGTGCGGGGGTGCGGGGGTGCGGGGGTGGGGGGTTCTCTTTAAAAAAAGTTTCCTGAAATCACAAAGAAACTGCTGGGCAGCAGCCTCTGTGGGGGCCTGAGCCTCAGGTTCACCGCTGCACCCGCGGCCTCGGCAGAGGGACACCTCCCTGAACGCACCATCCCGGGGGGGTTCCCTGGGTCCTCGAGCACGGGGGGAGACCTGGACAGACCGGGCGGCGCCCGGGGGGGGGCAGGAGGGGGGCCCAGGGCTCGCGGCGCCCGCGCCTTACCATGCAGGTGTCCAGGTCCTCCAGACGCTCCACCTCCGTGAGCTCCTCGGCCGCGGGCGCCGGGCGCCGGGCGGGCTTCTCGTCAGCCAGCTCCACGTCCGGGGCCTCGGCCGCGGGGGGGGTCCTGCCCCGCCGGGCGAAGTGCTCGGTCTGCGGGGGGAACACAGCGCATCGCAGATGGACCCCGGGCGCGGGACCGGCTGGTGGCTGGGCTCCCGCCTGGGGTGGCGCCCGACGGTGCGGTGTGAACGTGGTTGGTGACCGCCCCGAACTCTCGCTCACTCCCCTCTCTCGGGCTCTGTCTTGGGGGGCAGAGCGTTCTGCCCGGAAAAGACAAAATCTCCTTCCTTCAAAGAACGTCTCTGGAGACTCCATTTTTGGAACAACACCGTCTCCACCCCGTGGACGCAAACGTGCCCGACGCAGGCACGAGTTTCCCTGCAGACGGGCTGAGCCCCTGCCCCTGAGGCTGGCGAGAGGCCATGACTCGACTGCCCACCCCAGAACCACGCACGGGGGGGGGCCATCCGCCAGGAGCCACCCCCACCCTCTTGTGCAGAAAGGCCCCTTTCTTTGTCCAGTGCAGGAAGAAGAAAGTCAGTCCTTTCTGAGTAGTTAAATTCCTCAACAAGGACAGAGAGGGGGCCCCCAAACTCCCCACGTGCGGTCACTGGACCCGAGGCCCCCCCGCCGTCCAGGGCCCTTTGAGGCGGCCCCGGGAGCCGGGCTTCTCCGCAAACGTTTCTACACAGGCTGCGCTGCCGCCTCTGCTTCTGCTCATTTTAAAACCGAGTGCGAGTTCGGAGCTCCAGGCGGCAACACAGCTCTTCGCTGTGGCAGGAACTAGAAACTCGTGTTGCTCAGACGTGTTGTTCATAAACCAGTTTTTATGCTCCCACTTGCCACACACTAACAGGTGGGTGAAGCACAATAAAAGTTAGAAAATCAGAAACACAGCCTGCGTGTGCATGGGGCGGCCACGTCAACTTGCTCCAGAAGTTTCTCCACGGTCGCCCTGCGCGCTGAGCTGACACGGTCTCGGACGGTCGCCGTCCGCTGGCGGGCCGGCTCCAGCCCGCGGCAGACCTGGGTCTGAGTGGGGCGCCGGAGGGGCCCCGCCTGCCTTCTAGACTTGACAGGACAGCCGTGTGTATGTTCCCGAAGTGAGCTTTGCTCAAAACGCTCACACTGTACGCCTCACGGGGACGAGGCTGTCACCGTCCCCTCGTGCTGCTGTCCTCCAGCCTCACCCGACAGTTTTCCCTGAGAAACGCCGCAACCCCCGTGGGAGATTTCTACGGCACCCGCTCGCCGGCGTGCGAGACACGCAGCTCTCGCCGGTGTTGGGGGCCTGACCTCAGAGAAGCGCAAGGGCGCTGACCCCCTCCCCCAGCAGACACTGGGGGCGCAGCCCCTGCCTCGGGGGAGAACCAGTCTCGCGTTTCCTTTGGTCTCCAGACACTTCCCTCCCTGTGTGCTTCCAGGAGCGGTCCACTCTCAGACCACTACATCGGAACCAACGAAACGAGCCTGGACAAATGAACCAGTACTGGAAACAGTCTTGATCTGGGGGCAGTGGGAGCGGGGGGTGGGGGGCAGTGGGAGAGACGGGGGCGCCCAGCACAGCGCATGCAGAGGGCGTGCTGGGAGCCTGTGCACCTGAACCCGTGCGATGGTGTTAACCAGTGCCCCCATCAACCCCATGGAAAGCACATGAAATAGAACAGGTGACAGACACAAAAGCATAAAAACAAACAAGTCATACCCTTAGGTCTCCCCACCATCTCCCCGGTGCCGCTGGTCGGCATCACACACGGAGGAGATTTCTAGAAACCACCGCCGCTCCTGCGTTCCCCGGACCCCCCCTGCAGAGCGTGGGAGAAGCCCCCTCGAAGGGACGCGGGAGCGGGAGGGGGAGACCTGGGGCCCTCGCCCCGAAGCTGCCGCAGCGCAGAACGTGGAAGGGAGTCTGCCCGCCCGGCCGGTGTCCCCCCCGCCCCCCCCATCCCCGCAGAGACAGAGATGGGGCGCGCCGCCCGAGGCGGGCACGGCACTCACCAGCGTGTGGTGGCTGTGCGAGAGCGCGTCCAGAATCTCGTCCACGATCCGGTCGGACAGGAAGGAGGCCACGGTCAGCTTCACCTCGCTGCGGAGACACCCCGAGGGCGGGGAGGCGGTTCAGCTGGGGCGGCGGGCGCCCGTGGGTGAGGTCGGCGGGCGGGGCGCGGGGACGGGAGAACAGCGACGAGGACCCCCAGAAGCGAGCCTTCGCCGCCGCCGCCATGAACACCCAGGCCGCCGGCCGCCTTTGCCAGCGCGCCCGGCCTCTGCCCTCCCCGAGCTCACGGCTCAGCGGGCAGCAGTGGAAACATCTGGAAAAGGGCCGACGTAATGGGAACCGCATGCCCGTGTGGTCGGGAACAATCCGCCCATTGACAGAAACGAAAACAAGCCAGGCCGCGGCCCGCGAGCGAGTCCGGTCTGGGGGCGAGGCCTCGCTCGCTGCTCTGGACGCGGTCCCTGCCGGCTGGGAACCCCCCTACGGACCCCCCTCCCCCCACCCCGCACCTGAGATGCCGCGCCTGCCCCCACGCAGCCCCTCCCCTCGAGCACAGCCACACGCTCACGGCTGTCCACACGCTCACGGCTGTCCTGTCTTCTATGAGCAAACGCAGCCAAAAGGCCCAGTTTTAGCGTCTCCTGTCCTGACCCTGAGGAGCTGCCCAGGCAGCCTGGGCCGGTGTCCCGGCTGGTGGGGCGTCGCCCGGGTTCGACCCCCGTCCCCGCTCGGGGCGCATACAGGGGGCGACCGATCGACGTGTGTGTGTGTCTCTCTCTCTCCCTCTCTCTCCCTCTCTCCCTCCCTCTCTCCCTCTCTCTCTCCCTCTCTCTCTCCGTCTCTCTCTCTCTCTCTCCACCCCGCGGTGCGCACCCACCTGATCTTGTTGAGGATGTCCACCCCGGACTGCTCCAGCAGCACGTTCTTCACAAAGGTGCGGGGGATGGAGATCTTCTCCGTGCTGGCCTGCAGCAGGTCCTGCCGCAGGCGGGCCTTCCTCAGCACGTGGGGGCACAGGCTCTCGGCGGCGTCCACCATGGACTCCAGCAGCACCTGCAACGCAGCCCAGTGAGGGGCGGGGCGGGGCGGACCTCAGGGGGCCGCCTCCCACGCAGCCTCGGAGCCCAGGGACGCGGCCAAGGCCTCGGAGCGGCACCAGGGGACCAGTGACAGGGGACGGCCGTCGGGCTTTCGGGGACTCGGGGACTCGGCCCCTCGGGGTGGCCCCGCGTGCTCGGGGCCGAGGCGTCGAGGGGAGAGTCAGAAGGACACCGACCAGCCCTGGCACCCACGTCCCCCCCCCCACACGGTTCCCTGGGGTCCGTGCACTCCCGTTCCCCGGACGACACGCCAGATCCGGACGCTGGTGCGGTTCTGGGAACCACAGGAACTGCGGATCGGGGGACCCATCCCATCCGTCAAGCCGTCGGAGATGGAAAAGTACAGACGACGGCCAGTTCTCCTCCTTTTAAAGAAGAGCTTCCGAGTCAGGCCCAGGCACCCCTGTCCTGACGACCGCAAGGACGAGAGTGGCGGACACAACACACGGGCGGAGCAGGTCGAGAACGAAATGTCGGCAGCAGCGACCAGCCCTCACACACGCACGACACCCGAGAGGCCTCCGTGAGGGCGGCCAGACGGCCGTTCTCAGCCGCGGCGGGCGAGCCGAGGGGGTGGCGACTGCGGAAGGGACCGCCGCCCGCGAGCCTGACCCAACCCCGAACCCTCGCCCCGTGACTCTGGGCCCGGTCTCGGTTTCCCTTCCCTCGTCTGTCAGGCGGCAAGTCGGGGAGCCCCTGCCTCAGGGCACGGCTGGGGACGGGGTGACGGCCACGGGTAGGGTGCGCGGCACAGGGCGCTTCAAACGCGGCCGGAGCCACCGGGAAGCTGAACCTCAGGCTGTGTTTGGTCCCGAGTTAACCCTCGGGGAGCGCAGGTCTGGTCAACAGCAGACCAGACGGCGCAGGTCTGGCGCCGACCTTCTCCAGAACCAAACCGGAGGCCGCCGGCTGCCGCTCCCTCCTCCTCACCGACCTCAGCGACCTCGCCTGGCAGTTAGTTCACTTGCATTTCTTTCCGGCTTTCCAGCGCAGACTAGGCCTTACTGCTCCGTGTGCTGATCAGAAGCACCGGATTAACGCCCCTCGCACGGCAGCCGCGCTCACACACTCGCGCAAACTCATGTCCACACCGAAGCTCTGAAACCGTCCCTCCTCGTGCCCGGGAAACACAAAGGGCAGGACAGGGAGGACGCAGCGGGCCCTTCCGGCCCAGCTGGGTGACCGCCGGCCAGGTCCAGCCGGCGCCCCTCGGGCCTCGCTCCCTCCGCAAACCCGGAGCTGACCGGGGAGGGACGCGTTGTACCGATCCGGCCCTGAGTGAGAGCACGGCTCTCCAAGGCCAACGTAAGCACTCTTAAAATTGAAGTCCAGAAGGAAAAAGGATGAATGTTTCCTTTATGTTGAAACGTTCCAATCCCCCTTATTCGCCCGCTACCCCGGGACAGAGGTGAGTGCCGAGGAAAGGGGAAACTCGGAGAGAGTTGCGGCTGCTGTTGTTGAATCCCCAGCGCGGGCCGGTCCAGAGAAAACACCTCCTCCTCCCAAGGAAAGCATTTTTCCAAGCCAGCCGTGTTCTCCTCAGGAAGTTTGCTCAGAAGGCTGGCTCCCCTGGCCATTTCTTTTTCTTTCCCGAAATAACATTTTTTTTAAAGATGGCTCCAAGAGCTATTTAAAATATTACTCTCATGCAACATTCAAAGTACCTACTGCTGGTCATCACGCAGGACGACCCCACAGGAAGGCAGGGAAGACCCCGACCACCCGGAGATCAAGCCCACCCGGTGTGAAGAGGCCCAGGCCACCAAGTGAGGTGACTTGCTTGGAGCCAGCTGGCAGCGGCGAACCTAGGACCCAAATCTGGGCCTTTGGGTCCAGTTTCTAATTCACTATGATAAGAACTTATTTTTATAAAATTAACCTGCCTTGGCTGGTGTGGCTCAGAGCACAGACCTGCAACCAAAGGATCGCTGGTTCAATTCCCACTCACAGCACATGCCTGGGTTGCAGGCCGGGTCCCCAGTAGGGGGCACACACACAAGAGGCAACCACACATGGATGTTTCTCTCCTCTTTCTCCCTCCCTTCCCCCCTCTCTCTAAAAATAAATAAATAAAGCCTTAAAAAAACCCATTCACCTTAGCTCCTGAGAGCATCACATGTTAATTTTAGAGAATTTGGGAAATAGCAAAAGGACACTTTTAACCAGAAAAAATTGGATGATAGTAGTGAAATAAACAAGCACCCTAGCAGTTTAATAAGAAACTGACTGTAATAAAAATACATGTTTGCTGCATAAGCTGAAGAAGATCAAGGTACTGGGAAGCCGTATAAAGATGCACACTGAAATCTTTGAAAAGCAGGGAAGTGATGAGCACTTACCAGGAGGACGGAAAGGAGAGCTGACTGTCAGCCCGCGAAAGCCGTCTGTCGTGAGCCCAGTTAAGAGGAAACCGGTGAGAGGGGTTTCACTGAGCAGCTGTGACTGAAGATTTGCCACGAAGGGCGAGGACCCTGAACCCCAAAGGGAAGGAGCGAGAAGAAACCAAGCCCGTGGGCAACAGAAAAGAACGGTCCCTCCAGGAGCCGGGGCGGCGGCGGAGACGGTGAGAGGAGGGAAGGGTGGGCCCCGCCCGTGAGGATGCCGGCGGGCGGGGAGCAGCGGGCACCGGGCACCGGGCTCGGGCCGGGAAGCCGGACGTCCAAGCGTGTGGGAACGGCTGTTTACAGAGAGATATTTTAGGCCCCGGATACACTCACGTTATTTCAGGCTTGTAAAAATTCAGACCTCCCTGCTGCTGCCTCTCAACGGGGGCTGACTGGCAAGAGCCGACCCCCGGGGCCCGAGAGGAGGCACAGAGTCTAGGGATTCACACAGCGGAACTCAGTGTAGCCACCCAGAGACGGGACGGGGCGCTGCTCTGGGCGCTGCTCTGGGCGCACTCCCAAGGCCGTGCCGGACTTCGAGGCCAGCACAGCGCGGCCGCTTTGTGGACACCAGGTCGCGTGGGGACACAGGGCGCCAGGAAGCACCGGGTGCTCTAGATGACGCTGCCTCTGGGACTTTAACGGACTTTTACTTTTTTGTAAATATACTTGGTGGCCCTGGCTGGCGTAGCTCAGTGGACTGAGCGCGGGCTGTGAACCAAAGTGTCGCAGGTTCGATTCCCAGTCAGGACACATGCCTGTGTTGCAGGCCACGGCCCCCAGCAACCGCACATTGATGTTTCTCTCTCTCTGTGTCTATCTCCCTCCCTCCCCTCTCTAAAAATAAATAAGTAAAATCTTTAAATAAATAAATAAACACACTGGGTAATATCGTTACCCTGTTAGACAAAGAACTCCCACTGTTCACAGTCAGAGTAAACCAGGGGCAATGACGACCCTGGGCAAGAAGCGTCCCTCTCACAGGTCCCACCCCCACGGGGGACGGAAAACACCTGCCATCGGCTGACAGGCGGTCCAGCGGAACCGGACCGGCCAAGCCGTCCTTCCTCTACGGCTCAGGTCTGCTCAGCGGGGGCTCACAACGGCCGGGATTACGTGAGACAAAAACGGCACACGGAGTCTCTCTGTGACGTAGACACAGGGAGACGGGGGCCTTAACCCCTAAGAGCCCACGACCCCTTCTCCCCCGCTGGTTTAGCTCGCAGAGCGGCCGGCCAGCTGCGAGGCCACGGCAAGGCCACTGCTGAGTCACACAGCCAGGTGTTCTCAGAGGGGCAGACTGAACGGCGCTGGAACTCAGACGGGGCTCTCTCGGGCGTCCTCCACAGGCAGGCTGGAAATGGGGACGAGGGCCCGAGAGTGGGAGTCCCCCGGGCAGCTGTCATTGGAGTCACCGTAAGGGAAAGCTGGGCTCAGGCTGCCCCCCACCCCGCACCCTTGAATTCAGAGACTGGTCTCAGCAGGAGCCCACAGACACGTCTCGGCCACTCCGGGCGCCTGTCGCTCCACTCTCGTGCCCCCGGGCTCCCAGCCGCCCCGTCCCTCGTGAGGACTGTGTGGTCCCACCCGCCCGCCGCCCACGCCCCGCATCACGACGGCAGGAGACAGGCAGGTCTTCCCAAGGCAGCCCTCTCCCCTCGGGCCTCACGCTGGAAGCCGGCCCTTCCCTGACCAGGGAGGGGCAGCCTGCACACCTGAAGTTCCCTTAGAGATTCACCGTTGGGACTGAAGTGGCACCTGACAGGTTTCCTTGACCTCGTCATAGAGGGAGTTACTCCAAAACGTATCAATGAGGCTGGAAAGGACAGTGCTCCATTTGGACCGCCCGTGCAGGTGTGTGCAGGTGTGTACAGGTGAGCACGCATGCACACACGCACACACTCACACACACACACATCTAGCAAGTACAGGCAGCTGTGGCACGAGACGCTGTCACGCACGGGGAAGCCGTGACGGCGTTGTTTCCCGAAGTCACAGAAACCACGAACCTTCAGCTGCTCGTCCACCACCCTCGTCACCTCTCCAGCCATGGACTCCAGCGTCTCCTGGATGGGGCTGGACAGCAGGCCACCGGCTCCCGCCCAGGACGCGCTGCCGACGTGGTACAAGTTTGGCAACAACTGCGAGGAAGACAAAAGAAGCCGGTCGTACGCACGTATGTGAGCCCCGAGGTCCTGCAGCACCGGCACAAAGCGGGGAGGCGCTATGGGGCACCACCATCCCCGATGGAAGGCCCTCTCCCTGCACAGAGCGGGAGACTGAGGCCCAGCGTGGGGGCCACCGGGGCAGCACATGCGCTTGCACCTCGGGTCCCCCTGACGGAGGCCCAGGGTCCCGCCTTCTCAGCACAGTCACCAAGGAGCGTGTGACTCCAGCAGCTGAGCCAGAACCAGGGCGCACCTCGGGGACAAACGCCACCTCGAGAGAGAGGCCTCTTTCAGGCGACCGGGGAGAGTGTCCTCCCATCGCGGCGAGTGGGAGAGGGGAGAATGGCGAGTTGTTACCACTTTAAACCACAGCTGCCTCCGGGTGACCCCGCCCCCGAGGGCGGCCTGTGTAACCCTGTCCCTCTCTGTGCTGCGAGGGGCGCAGAGGGGGGCCGGGGTGGGGGTGGGGGGTTCCGCCTCCCTCTGCCCCTTGGGAGCAACCTTGGACGTCGGCAGAGAGGAGGAGCAAGTTGGAAGTGGTTCCCGAAACGGAAGCTTAAAGCACCTTTTCACCACGGAGGACGCCGCGCCGCGCAGCCCGCGCGGGCACTCACCGTCTTGGAGTTCTTGGCGTCCCGCATGAGCCGCTCCGCGGCCTTCACGTCCTCCTGGACGGCGTCCCCCGCGCAGTTGCGCAGCGAGTTCAGGTGGTCCTGCACCTTCACGCACATCCTGTCGACCATCTGCCCACACGTGGGGGCGACAGCCGGCGCCCGGGGAGCCCAGCACGGGGGCGGGTGGGGGGCGGGGGGGAAGAAACACAGAACCAGTGAGGGGGACGCTTCCTCCCACTGGGGTTTCCGAGAGCGCAGCTCACGGCCCGTCATTAGCGTGTCTGTTCGCAGAAGAAACCCCGGGCAACGCTAACTCCAGGAAAACTGGCGGGATTCCCGTCCCCTGTCCGGCTTAGAAAAGGCGGCGTGTGGCCCTGACTGGTGTGGCTCAGAGGACTGGGCACCGGCCTGCGAACCAAAGGGTCGCCGGTTCGATTCCCAGTCAGGGCACAGGCCTGGGTTGTGGGCCAGGTCCCCAGTAGGGGGCGTGCGAGAAGCAACCACACACAGATGTTTCTCTGCCTCTCTTTCTCCCCCCTCTCCTTCTGTCTAAAATAAATGAATAAATAAATAAATCTTTAAAAAAGAGAGGGAGAGAAACAGCTGCCGTCGGTTTCCCCTCTGTGACTGAGGCAGCGGTCGGAAGCTCGCTGCGCGCAGAGACGCCTGCTGAGGGACCCGAGGCAGACGGTCGGGGTCCGGCCGCAGCGGTCTCCGAGCTGCCCATGTGAAACACGGGGACCGGGGAGTGACAGGAAGCCACCGAGCACGCAGCTGAGATCAGCCCCTCGCAGAAAACAAGGCTCTGGTGATGTCACAATGACGCCATTCTCCCGAGACTCCCTGTCACTTCACGAATATTCGTGATTGTTTCTCTCAACGTGCATCGCTTTACTTCCACACAAACAACACCTGCTGGCTGCTGGGGCGAGGAAGGGACAAAAGCCCCCGAGCCGCCGGCTGACAGAGCCTCCCCTCTCGGACGTCTGTGCCCACGGTCCCCTGAGGCACGTCACCTCCTGGAGCGCTCCCCACGAGGGTTTCGTCGTGGGCGCCCTTCCTTCATCCTCTCCTGATATGAAGCAGCCACGAAATGTAAAGCAGCCCCGGCACGAGGCAGGGAACATGTGAGCCACACACACGTGGTCTCACGGGACGGCCACACACACAGTCTCACGGGACGGCCACACACACGGTCTCACGGGACGGCCACACACACGGTCTCACAGGACGGCCACACACATAGTCTCACGGGATGGCACCGTCCCCGCCCGCAGTCCCCTCCGCCCGCTGAGAGCGCGCTCTGAGGCCCTGCTGGTCTTTCAACGCTTCTGGCTCCCATCTTGAATTTAAACACTAGTCTTATTTTCGTATTTTTTGTTTTAAATTATAGAAAATAAAAACTAAAAATTTAGCCCATGGGTCTACCACCACTCAACTTTCTCCCGTTTCAATGCTTGACTTTAATTTCCTGTAACAATAATTCGACTTTCCCTTTTTGTCTAAGTTGGATTTAAAATTTTAAGCCCACCAAAATGCAGCTACAGAGTTACGACTATGGGATCCACAGAGGAAGAAATTTCATTCCATGTCTTTTCATCGTTGCCGACTGCCCCAGAGTGGCCATTGTTAAAAGCTTCCACCAGTTCTCATAACTTTTTATGGTTTCCTTTTTCGCTAACACCGTCTCGTCTGTGCCTCGGTGTATGCTCCCCTATTTTCTTGCTGTGCTAGAGAAGTCCCCAGAAGACGTCCCGTGGCCAATGGGGGGAGAACCTCCGGGGCCCACCTCTGAGGACACTTTTCCTCTGCCCTCACGCTCACTGGTGGGAGAGCTCCCCAACAGAACCCTCGGCCCAGAACAGGCCGCCCTCTGCGCGACACCGACGGCCTCGTTTGCCCCCAGCAGCTGGGGCCGGGGCCGAGGCCGCCCGAGCTCCTGGTCCAGTTCCCGTTCGTCGTCCTCTCTGGGACGCCCTCGGCGTTTTCCCCGCATCCCGGCTGTTCTGGCCGGGACGAGTGTAGTAGCAGAGGAGGGTCTTCTGCCCGTTCATTCCGATCAGTTCCCGTAGGCCAGTTAGTTTGGTCTTGGGGGTCTTCAAGCCACGGCTCCTGTTTTCTGTTATTGTCACGCTTTTCCAACTTTCTCTATTGTTTCCCTTTTTAAATGTTCCCGTTCCTGGGAGAGGGCCGTCGGTCCCTTGGAGCGTCTCGGCTCTCCGACTTAGTTTCCGTCTGCCTGTTTAGTGCACGTCGAAGGCTTCCTCCACCTTTTCTCCCCCCCCCCCCCCAGAGAAAAGCTCCACCTGAGCCCGTCGGGTGTCCGAGGCCCTGCCACAGTCACGCGTCCGGGTGCGGAGCCAGCTCCCTGCCCCGCGAGGACGGCCCTGCCACGGCGGCTGCTCCAGCCCGCGGCTGCGCGTTCTCTCGGCTCAGCGCCGCGGCCTGTTGGCGCCTCCTCTGACACCCACTGCGAGCTTTCCCCAAATTCCTTACCGCCCTTGAGTTGGGCTGGTATTTGCAGGGAAAACACTTCATACTTGTAAATTATCATCATCAGCCTCTTCCCCCCCTCACGTTGAGTACAGAAAAGGGAAAAGCATCTGAGTTTCCCTTCGGCACTTAGGTCCTCGTTAGCACCCACAGACGCTTCACCACTCAGGAGACTGGGGGTGGGGGGGTTGTCTCGTGCTCAGACGTCGGAGGACCTGGAAACAGACCGTCTGCAAGGCGGCCGCGTGACTATCCTCTGGCTTGACCACCCGCCCTCGTGAATTCCCGCTTCCTGTGCATCCGCCCACAACCCACCCTCTGACCCCCTGCAAGGCACAGCGCCCGCCGGGATGGATGAACGGTGTGGACCTGGCGCAGGAGTCAGCCCGCATCTGCCTCCCGGAGCCCCGCCCCCCGAGCCCCACCCTGAGCCCCGCCCATAGCCCCGCCCCGCCCCGAGCCCCGCCCCGAGCCCCGCCCCCCGAGCCCCGCCCCCCGAGCCCCATTGGCGCACGTCACTCCCAGGGCCGCCCCGGCCGCCCCAGTGCAGGAAAGGCTGGGGACGGCGAGCGCGCCCGCCCACCTGCTGCGTGGTGCTGCTGACGATGCCCTGCTGGAGGCGGTAGGCCTGCTCCTGCAGGTACTTCCTGGTCTCGTGGTTCCGCAGCAGGTAGTTCTCGATCTGCACGGGAAGCACACGGCGCTCAGGGCCGCCGCTCGGCGGCGCGGCTGCGGTTCCCAGCCCCCCAGCACCACCACTTCACACCCCACCCCCACCCCCACCCCGGTGCCCTGAGCCCCGAAGACGAGAACGAGGCAGGAGCCCGGCCGTCGCTGGGAGGCGCCACCGGTGTTTTCAGGGAGAAACGTGGCGTGCAGGCAGCTGCGGTCACTACCGTGTGACTCGGGCGCTGACGAAGCCGGGCGAGTGTTTAATCGTCTGCAGGGCCCGAGCCCCACCCCCACCCCCACGCGCCGTGACTGCCCGCCACCCTCCGCCCAGCCTCGGTGCTTTCTGCCGCCTCGACATTTAACCACCACACAGTTCACCGGCTACACGAACATCCCCGGGGGCGCGGACGTGACTCCGTGGAGCTCTGGGGCGGCGACAGGGGCCAGCCACGCTGGGAAAATTCTTTACGGGAAAAGAGGGGGACGACAGGAATGACGCCTGGAGAACGCAGCCGGTCCCACTCCTGGACACGCTAGTGTCATGCGTGCACCAGGTTCCCACACTCTGTCACCAGCAGGGCTGATTTAGCCAAACTGCTGAAAATTAAAACGTCCCCCAGAAAATGAGGAATCTTGGAGTCCCTTGACAATTTGCATTTTATACAACGACAACCTCCCACAGAAAGTGCAAGTGAGGCTGAGACAAGGCATTTCAGAACCAGCCCTGGCTGGCGTGGCTCAGTGGATCGAGCACCAGACTGCGAAGCAAAGGGTCGCCGGTTCGATCCCCAGTCAGGGCACATGCCTGGGTTGCAGGACAGGTCCCCGGTGCGGGGTGCATGAGAGGCAGCCCCACACCTACATTTTCTCTCCCTCCCTTCTCCTCTAAAAATAAAGTCTTTAAAAAGAAAAAAGAAGGAAGAGCCCCACACAACAGCTACAACTGAACAGGAAGGAAGGGTTCACCGCTGGGAAGGACGGACGCCCAGGCAGGTGCACGTTACAGAACGGTTCGGGGCGGGCAGCTGGGCCCGTTTTTTCCGCCGTTCCTCCTTCCGTGTGTTGTCAGCAAACACCTCTCAACCCCCTGGCTGTGGGTCTGCCGCTGCGGCTCCCGGGTGAGAAACGTCCAGCGCCTGCGAGGCTTTCAGCGCCATCACACTCTCCTTCTCACCCTCCCTGCGCTGCAACGGCGCCGACCGCACACCAGTTAGGGGCCGTTAAAACGCAGGCTGTAACGGGCACCGTCCCTGGGACCCGCGGGGCAGAACAAAGTGCGGCTCCGCACGGGCCCCAGGGACGACCTCACAGAGACGAGAGGGCCCCTGAACCGCAGCACACGGAGGTGACACGTGGCCACGTGAGGTCACACTCCCTCCCGCCGCTGCCCAGAAGCCGCCTCACGTCCCCGCCCACGCGCCCTGCTTCCGCCCCAGAGGCTCTCCCCTGAGTGGTGCAGTGCGGCGGGCGCGCCCGCACCCCCTGGGCCTCCTGTTCTGTCGTCTGCCCTCCTGCCCTCGGCCTTGGGGCGCCCCGGCCACAGCCAGGGCCGGCAGCAGGCTGTGCCCCTGGGAGGTTCACGCACCTCCAGACGGCCCCCAGCTGACCTACCGACAGTGCGGCCCAGACCGAGACTCGGGGGAGGTTCTTAGAAAACACAACACACTAAGCTCCTTTCTGAAAACAGAGTAGTGTCCGAGCGTCTGGAGGAGACTGCTCCCCGACACAGGCGTCTCCACTGGACATGTTCGCACTTTTGGAACAGTGGGGTGCACTCCCTTCCGAGCCCCATTCCCGACCCAGGACAGAGACCCCGCGTCCCGGGGGCTGAGGACAGAGGCCTGGAGGGGGCTTTGGGGTCGGGGGCCATGGCTGTGGAAAACAGAGGCGCTGGGCGTATTTCACAGCCGTCACCTTTCCCTCCCCTGCCAGAGCCGTGCGGGATGGCCCTGCGGTCTGTGCTGTGAGAACCCGGGGCGGGGGGGGGCTCCTGCAGGTGAAACTCGTGGGGGGTTGGGGCCACCCTGAGACGGGCCCTGCGGCAGCCCACTCACTCCTGGACGGCCCCAGCCCCTGCTGAGCTGTGGGACGCCGGGACTGCCCTGGACAGACAGACGCCTGCAGACAGAGGCAGGGACAGAGGGGGAGATCCCGGGTGGGGGTGGCCTGGACTTCCTGACCAGGAAGGAGGGGGATGGAGGACACGGGAGTCATGCCAGCGGACCCTCCAGTCCACGCCTGTCCGCAGGGCGACAGGTCATCTGCCCGGTGCGAGCTCTGCAGGTGGACGCCGCGAGGACGCTGCTCCACCCATGTAAACCGCACCGCCAGCTCCAGCCTCATCTTCCCCCCCAAATCACGCAAGACCCCTGCCGTGGCCCCAAGAGCACCAGCTGATGTGAGGCCCCCTGGGGACAGGACTCGAAGCTCTGTTCGCAAGGTCAGACTCGGGGACGCGGTCCAGTGCCCCCAAGCACTCGCTGCCGTCCCCCGCCCCGCCCCCGCGTGCTGCCGCCCCACCCCCCCCACCCCTCGCAGTACCTTCTGCAGGGCCTCCTCCGTCTTCTCGGGGCTGGTCTTCAGGGCCTGGGCGGCGTCGTACATGGGGATGGGCATGAACCTCAGGGTGTAGTTCCTGGGGAGGGGAGAAGGGGAGGGGTGTCTGTGTAAAGACATCTTCCGAGACCTCAACTCCGCACTTCTCTGAAACCCTGACAGGCAGCGGCCGGAAGGACGCAGAAAATTCCGGACGGCTGGCCCCAGAGCCCCCGCATCTGGGGCTCCAGACCGCAGACCCGGCCTGGGGTCCCCGAGGCAGCCCAGGCAGCCTCGTCCGCGCAGGACACCCGACAAAATGGCACAACTGTCGGGAATATGGCCTTTAGTTTCTGGAGCTCAGCCCGCTTCTCACACTGGATGCAAAGCTGTCAACACAGGCAACAAAGTACCACCAGTGGGAACAGACCGAAGCCACAGCGGGAGGGAGGAAGCCGGGGCCTCACTTTACAGGGTCTCACACCGGCCCCACTCGGGGGGTGGGGACTGACTCTGCCCACCCCCCCGCACCCCCCGCCCCCGAGTCCCAGCTACGCCGTCACCCCAGGGGGCTCCCAGGCCCGGGTGGAACTTTACACTTTTCCAGAAAGAAGTCCCCGGGAACACTCACTTCTCCATAGCAACGGCTATATCTTGAAAGCCTTGTGCGGTGATGTTGTTCTTGTCCCATATCACAGTCCTGCGTGGAAAGCGAACCCCATGGACGGTCAGACACGGGGGAGGGGGAGGAGTCTCCCGCTGACGACCCACCTCTCCCGGGCCACGCCGCCCCGTGTCTCTGCAGGACGGCGTGACTCGGGCAAGGGAAACGTTCAACCTGGTGTCGCCAGCCAGGACGAGCGCTTCTCCGGGATCACGTCCTCACGGGACCGGATTACGTGTCACGTTCTTAACACGTTCTCTGCCCAAACCGTGCGGGGGGCAAACACGCTAATCTACCACGCAGGCTCGGCCAGGCCGAGTCCAAAACCGGATTTCTGTGGCGTTCCCCCACGGAGGCCTAGGACTGGCGTCTCAGGCTGCAACTCTGTAGCGGAGACACTCAGCGGCCCGCATCCAGCAGCCGGAACTCCAGGCGCTGAGGCGCGGCCGGGCCCGGGAAGGGCCCCGGCCCGGCCCCGCCCTGGCGCGGGCGGCACAGAGGAACGGCACCCGCTCCTCGGGGGAGACCCCGGTCTCTCTGACGGGACACCATTACTTCCGAGGCGCACAGTCCGGCGCGGCAGGAGAGGTTGCCGCACCCTCAGACCGTGAACTTGAAGAGGGAGCTGTGGGCGTCCACTCACCCGACACCCGACACCCAACAGGGCTCCTGCTCGTCCGCAGGGTCCCGGGCCCAAGGTCGAGACCCCGGGCCTCCAGACGGACCCCGGAGGCCCTGCGGCAGGTGTGGCTTTTGGCTCCAGTTGAGACGGAGGCTCCGACTCACACTGGGGAGCAAGGGGACCCCACGGAAGGGCCCTCGCCGGGGGCTGCGCATCAACTCCTCGCTCCCCGGGCGCCGGGTCAGTGGTGACCCGGCCTCCCGGAAGGACAGGCGCTGCATGGTCACCGTGTGGTGACCGTTAAGAACAGCCCTGCTGTGTGTGGACACTGCGTGTGGACACCGCTGGACAGAGCGGTTAGCACCCAGTGTGAACTCGCCCGCAACCAGGGGGCCCTGTGCGCCCCTGGTGTTCCGTCTCCTCGGGGACAGGACCCGGGGAGGGGGGACAAGACGCTGGGCTCACACCCCATGCGGGGGAGGCCCCGAGTCACACCTGCCGCCCCCCCTGTCCTGCTCGCAGGCACCACAGCCACTCCGGCCTCCAGTCAGGGAGGGAGCCCCCGCGCCCGTGGCAGGGACACCGCCCAGCGCTCCGGCCAGACTGAACCCGCAGCCCCGGGAGCCGGGCCCCGCCCACCGTGCGCACAGCCCGCGCTCCCTGCCGGGCCCTCCCGCGGACCGCGCACCTGAGCTTGGTGTTGATCTGCAGCGCCTTGGCCAGCATCCTGGCGCCCAGGTCGCCCATGGCGTTCCCGCTGATGTCCACTGCGGTCAGGGACGTGTTGCTGCCCAGCGCGTTGATGAGGATGGTGACCTCGGTCTTGAGCTTGGAGTCGGCCAGGGACAGGGACTGCAGAGGCTGCAGGGGGGGCAGGACAGGCACGGGCTCGCCGCGGAGACCCCCCCCGGGGGGACCCCCGCACCAAGAGCCTGCCCGTCGTGGGCTTCCGGCTGAACGCGGCCGGTCAGTGAGGCCTGCGGTTCTGGTACCCGGGCTGGCGGGCCTGGCCCCCCCCCGCCCCGCCCCCGGTGCCCGTGGGCGCTGGTCCCCCACGGACGCCACACGGACGCCGGGCCGGCACCGAACAAGCTCTGCCCACTCGGGCCCAGGGGGAGGCGCACGGAGATCGGCTTCGTCTGAACCCGCAAACCGCAAGCCACGCCCCCCGGCCCAGTCCCGCCCGTGATTGGTGGATTTTTCGCAGCCACCAGACCCAGCTCCTACCCATCTTGAATGGTTCTGCACACGCCTGCTTCAGAACCAGGGGGAGAAAAGGAAGTCGTTTCTCAAAAAGCCACCCAACTTCGGGGACAGGAACCTCAGAAGTCTCCCCTGTACCTCCCAGGGGCACGGGACTCAGGTGCGCAGTGTGAATGGGTTTCCGCGTGTGTTTTAAACGATAAGAGTATCTTTAAGTGCGAGGTTAAAAGTCACAGAAACACCGTGTGAAGACCCCTGCAGCCTAATCAAAGCATGAAGCTCACAAATATGTTTTTCATAAAATATAATTTTCCTAAAACATGTGCCGGGAAACACACGTCTCGGGGTGAACGTAACTTCCCCATCAGTGTTCCCCAGCCTTCGAACACCGGGCCAGTCCCGGGCCTGGAGAATCCCCCCAAACAGCGGGGTGGTGTCAGTTCCAATTACATATGCAAACCCAACAGCCCACGTTCTGAAAAGTGTAAGTTACCTGCTCATTATGCCCCAACTTTAATAACCCAGGATAAGAGGAACGAAACAGGAGAATAACTGGCAAAACGCGGACACAGAGCCCCGCCTGCTCGCACTAACCAGGAATGAGCTGCGCTCGCAGCCCTGACGCCGGACTCACCCCCACACAGGGAAGGGGCGGGGGGCGGGGGGGGGGAGCGGCGTCTCCGCCCTCCAGACCACAGCCCCCCACCCCCACCCCCACCCCCACCCCCACCCCCCGAGGACCGAGCGGGAGGAGCAGGGGACGTCCAGCCCCGCCTCCCGAGCCCCCCCCCTTCCTCGGAAAAGGTCGCTCACAGCTTCACAGAACTTGCTCGTGTCCTGTAGGAATTCACAAGGACAATTAGACGTTTTTTAAGTTTGTGACGTCTCTCTTGTGATTCACAGAGGAAGTCACTGCTGCGCCCCACGAAGCAGGAGGGCGCAGGGGGCGCGCCCGCCCACGGACTTGGAATTCGGGGCCCCTGCAGGCCGCGCCTGGCGGCCCCGCAGGGCAGGGAGCGCTACGGCCCTGGGGGCGGCGGCGGGGCGCGCGGGGCGCGCGGTGCGGGGCACCAGGCTCCCGCGAGAGCAATGAACAGTCAGCGCCTTCTGCTTCCTCCGCGACGTCTCTTTTTCTCTTCAGCAACGCGTTTTGAAGGGCTGCCACACGGGGCACTGCGTGACATTAACTTTCTTCACCCCAAACCAAGTCTTGGCCCCGAGCGGCTTAAGGGGGGGGCGGGGGGATACAAGAAGGGTCGGTAGAGCTTTCAAGGAGACATGGAGGGTGGGGGCCGCTGTCTTTGTCTCTCTAACTCTGCGAAATTCCCGATGGAACTCAGATTAGCTTCTCCACACGACACAAGGTCACAAAGTCAACTCTGTGGTAAACTTCACGCCCGCAGAGGAGCCTATTAGGTGAAGTTAGGAAGTACAAGGCTTACAAAAGACGGGCTTAGGAGTCCATTTCGGTTTCTTTCAATCTATTAGCTACAATCTTTCTTTAATTAGTCATGAGCTGAGTCCCATGAAGGGTAAGCAAATTTCAGTACCTTCTACCGCTGTACTAAATCGTAACTCTTTATTCCATTTTTAAAATGAGAACAGAAAACATGTACACAGATAAAACTACCTGAAAGCATAGCACCTTTAACCCTCGGAAACACCCAGGGTGGCAACACACGCAGAACTGGGGGCAGAAGCTTTAACTCACCGATTCCTCGTCTTGAATCATCTGCACCAAGTTGTCCAGTACGGGGGCCAGATTTCTAGAGAGATTTTAAAGATGTGCACAGAGCAATGAGACCAAACGTTTTCAGGAGGCTGGTGGTCTTCGTCACTGTCCCATTGAAAAAAAAATTCAAACCTCTTACTTGGATTTCATGTTATTAAAGTTTTTGCCTAGCGCCAGGTGTTGTATGGACCGGTTTTTACTGAGCCACACGATCAAGGTGGAGAGGTCGGACTCTAAGCCTGGAAAGAATGAGGGGGAGAGAGAATCAGACCGGACGTAAACAAACGCTCAGCGGGAACGCAGGTCTCTCTTTCCTTCTTTCTTTTCTTTTCTAAGGGACTGCTCGCTCTCCTTTCCTCCCGTTGCTGCACAGGGATAAACTCTCTGCAAACTCACCCTCGCTTCCTCCTGCGCGGTCAGAGGCCTCGGAGTGGAGAGTGGCGGAGACAGGCCCCCCTCCCGTCCCTCGGTGCGAGACCCCGACACGCTGCTCACTAGCAAGTGCCAGGTGTCTCCACTGCGCACACTTGACAAGTCCCCGGCCCGTGCTGTGACAACCAGCAGAAATGGCGCTGGCGGACACGCTTCTGTGTAAGTGAACAAGGGCCCGAGCCTCTCACCACCAAGAACGCAAGAGGCCGGACTCGCAGGTCCGTTGACGTACCGAGGACACTGTAACTGGCTTTCACTTGCTGCCTGCCTACACCTTGCCTGGCTGGCCCTGGAGTCGACCTAGTAAGACTTTGCTCCATAAAGAAAGATGCATTCTGTAAGCAAATTGCTCCGTTACATTTGCAAGTCCTGGCAGCAGAGGTGCACGAGAGGTGCAGCGTTTCCCCGAGGGGGCCGTCCACCCTGGGCTGCAGTGGAGGCCGGGGTCCCTTCCCTGACGCGCTCCGAACAGCCCCCGCCCCCACCCTGTCCCGGCGCCCGGCTCACCGTTGTCGGAGATGTCCAGGCTGGTGATGTTGTGGATCTCGGCGATGCAGCCCTCCAGCACCTGCGCGCCTCCCGACCGCAGCTGCGGAGCACAGACCCGGTGGGTGAGGGGTGCCCGCCTGCCCGCACCGCGGCCCCACATCAGGACCGGTGGCCCCGTGTCTCCGACACGGCTCCGCAGGGAACGCCTCACTTAAAGACGCCCAAAGCGGCCACGGGCCAGGAGAGGCAACCCCGGGCGTGGCTGCGGCTCCCACATCACGTGGGCCCGAGAGCCACCAGGCAAAGACGCCGGAGACAGCCCCGGGTCGCCAGCAGCGAGACACTGTCCGTCCACCCACGAGCGCTTGTTTGCCTCTGCTTGCTCGGGAACGAATCTAAGGAGCCCGTTCCACACCGGGGAGGGGCCACTCTTACTCGGTGGCACCTTTCAGGAATGACAACTGCCCACTGCGTGCGGCACCACAGCCGGAGGGGACGGGGGGGCTGTTCCGGGAGGGCCAGGCCGCCCGCCCGCCCCCAGGGGCAGGTGCGGCTCCCGGGGCCCGGCAGCCGGGCGGCGGCCGTGGCCAGTGGTCACAGAAGGCTTCGTGCCCACGCATGGGGCCATGCGAGGAAAAGATGCTTGTTCCTTAATCTAATATGATTGTGACGATTGGCTCAGACCAAAACCAAGAGCCGGTTTTTCCAAATCAGCTGACTGATTCCAAACAGAAGGACAAGCTTTATCACCCAACAGTTTTCGTCTTCTTCCATGAAACCGAAAGCACAGTTTCCAGGGGTCAGAATATCTCATTTTCCTTCAGCAACGGCCTGAGTCCCTCCTTGGGGTGAAGCCTGGTGCTGGGCCAAAGCTTCCCGGCCGGCGGCCGTGTTGCTGAGCAAACTCACCGTCCAGCAGGGAAAGGGACTATCGCTCATCGGGGCCTCCTGTGGACCGAGGGTCGTGGCAGCCTCCCCACTCACGTGAGGAATTCACTGCTCTACCGAATCCATAACACGAGGTGCTATTTTCTGCTTGTTCACGTGTTGATGTAAGAATCTGAGGAATCTATTTCACTCTTTTAGAAGCAGCATTTTCATGGTGCCCTGGACCGAAACCCACCAATTTCTCCGGCTGCGTCGTCTCTGGGGCCAGCGGCCAGCATGGGGCACTGCGTTCCCGGGTGTGCACTCAGGTCTCCCCAACAGTCCGGCTCCTCTCTTACGCTGCCCCCCGGAGGCCCGCCCCCACGCCCTGCACCAAGGGGTCTCGGACAAGGGGAGCACACGAACGGACCGTAAATATTTTAGAAACGTTAGTGGTGATCATTTCAGGTATGTTGTATCTAAAAATACAAGGGGCTTGGATTCTGTATGTCTTCTTAAATTTTTGCAAAAATACTGATTTATTATCACTTGGAAGTTTTAAAAAACCAAAAAATCAGGCTCTGTGCTGCAAACAGGTTTGTGAGAGGCCCAGCTCCGGGTCACGGCGTGTTAATACTTGACGTGAATGTGCGTGCAGACTCGTCAAAGCTACAGTGAGGAATAATTAGGCAAACTCTTTGAAGAAACATAATTTGATTTTCAGAGCATGAAACAAAAGCGCTTTTGAGAAGATAAAGGAAAGTGCCTAAGTCTTCACAATTTCATTACTTGCTGTTGGTGATTTCTCTGTTGAAAATAAATTTTCTACAAAACCCTCTCCTTTCTCTTATTGTAAAGCACACCAAAATACTCCATCACAAACATGGAAAATACAGGGGCATTAAAGCATTCAACTCTGTTTGTTTTATAAAAACTCCTGACTGATAATGTTTGGAGCACACATCCCTCAAAGTAATATTTCCAACTGTTAAAAGTACTCAAATGTATCAATACACACGAATGAACCAGTTCATAAAGTACTTACACAGTGGCCGAGCTAAGGGAAGCCCAGGGAGAAAAAACAAAAATGTTATCGGCAGAAGGAAGAATAAGAATAAAGAAGCTAAAGTCTCTATCCACACACAATGTAAAAAAGCAAATTGTCAGGAAAAAAAAAAACTTTCAACTAAAATTGGCTCCCAAAACAAAAAATCAAAAATTTAAACAAGAAAATAAGCAATCTTCAGTCACCAAGAGCACTGGATTAAATTCACGGGTTACTTGATGCCGGAACTTCCCCAGAGCGGAAAGCTTTCCCCAAACAGTACAGGCTTTTCCCAAGCTGAGAAGGAGCATCATTTGCATACATTTGCATAACGAGAGGCCAGTTGGCCTGTGCCCAGCTGGTTTCTGAGGCGCCCTCCCTGCCACCCACACACCAGCGTCACTTGAAGGCAGAGGAGACCAGAGGGGAGCCGGCGGATGTCCCTCGCCACCGCACACTCTGCAAAACGTTAAAAATAAAACCACATTCTCTGGAGAGAAAAAGGTGCCCTCACTGGAGACAGCTGGAGTATTCGGGGGTTACCCATAGCTCCCCGTGAACAGTCGTATTTACACTCCAGTATCCGTAGTGGGGACCAGAGCAGCGAAGACACTAGAACTGCGAGAAAACGCCCAAAAAAACCCATGTTCCGTCCTCGAGATCCCTTGCCTTTTAAAATGATGTTGCAAATATCACAAACTTAAGTATCAAGTAAATCCCTAAATGGTCGCTGTTCTTGCACGGAAGTTACAAATTTAATTAAAAATATTACTTGTTACCCCAGGACATTTTCTCCTAAAGGTTTCTCCGGGGACACAAGCTGGTCTGACAAGATCTGGCTGAGACCCTGCGGGCAGGGCTGGAAGCCAGAGGCAGTTTAGAGGCTGAGAAAAGTGTGCACAAACACAATCGCTCCCGGGGTGCGAACGGCTGGGTGGTCGCTCGGTGTCACGGTGCCCCCGTGCTGAAACGCTGTCCCGGGTGCACTCCCCGAGAGGCCTCCCGGGAGGGACCCCCTTCCGGCCCCGGAGCGCCCCCCCCCCCCCCGCCGAGCGCCCGTCACGTGGACGGAAAACCCGCCTCGCACCCTCCCGGCCCAGTTTCCTCCCTGGCACTGCTCCTGCTGCAGCCGCAGCCCCTCGCCCGGAGCCCCTGCCGAGCGCCGCAGCCAGGCCCCGGCGGGTCCTCAGCCAACACGCTCGCCCCCCTCCCCCCCGACCGCCGCGCCCCGTCTTCGGCTCCCTCTCTGCCTCTCCCCCGCGGCCGTGAGGCTTTCACAGGCGGGCGCAGGCCCCTGCCTCCCCCCAGGGAGACGCGTCCGTGGGGGAAACACCCCAACACCGGCGTGACCGCGGCCCCGAGACCCTCGCTCTGGAGCCCCCCCCGGGGGCCGCAGTGTGCACCCACCCCTGGGTGTCTGCACAGGCGCTGAGTCCAGGCCCCCTGAGGGTCACCCGGGGGCAGCCATGGGGGCGGGGAAGGGCTGCTTTGTGCCCGAGTCAGCTGTGACGGTACATTTGATGAAAACACGTTTCCTCTTAGGCTTTAAAGCAGCCTGGAGGGCCACGCCCACACAATGCTTGGGGAAGGACGGGGCATTCATTCTGACACCTGCAGGTCAACGGTCTTAGCAAGGCAGTGTGGGCACGCGCTGCAACCCCTGACGCTCAATCACCAATCACGGCTTCTCTACAGTAACCGCCCCAACCCCTCCCCGCGCCCAGACAACAGCTCCGCCCTGAGCCAGCACCGCCCTGCGGACTACCCCCCCCCCCCCCCCCGCCACCCGCCGGGCCCCCCAGGGCGAGGAGCGGCGGCTGAAGAAGGCCGGTCGCCCCGAGAGCCAGTGGCCGGTGGCCGCACATCGAAGGGCCTCTCTGCCTCCAACGTGCCCGCCCTTTGCTGTGACCCCTCCACGCCCCCGGCCCCCGGGCTGCGCTGGTCACAGAAAAGAAATCACTCCCGTCTGGTACTGAAGGGCCACGGAAAAGGTGGGGACGCGGCGGCGTGACTGACGGGGAACATCCCGGGAGCACGGGCCTGGTCTGCGAGGGCGGCCGTCATCTGTGAACCAGGGGCTCGTGGCGCCGCCCATCCATCCGCCCGCCCGGCCCCACTGGAGTGAAGGGCACAGCCGGGCGCATGGGGCTCAGCCTCCCCGGTAAAAGTGGCCTCCGTGGGGCAGGAAGTCGGGGCACAGGACCACACGGCTGGCCACGGCTGGCCACGGCCGCGCGTGGGGCAGACCTGGGTCCGACGCAGGAGGGGGACGCTGGGCCCGGGCTGGACGCTCGGAGGGGTGGCCCCGGGCAGGGAGGGCGGGACAGCAGCGTCCAGGGCGGGAGGACAGAGGACACGGGGGGGGGGCCCGGGGACAGCGCAGGCGCCGCCCCAGGCGGAGCAGAGGCCGCGTCAGGCCCGTGGGGGGGGGGGGGGGCCCGGCCCTGAAGTGGCCTCCGGCTGCTTCCCGGGTATTTCCTCACTGGTCCCCACACAGAAGAGGAACGCTTCCCGAGGGCCAAGCCCAGGCGCCCTGCACACTCGGAGACCTGCATCTCGGTTCTCCTCTCCCCGCTCTTATCTCGGACAGGCGGCGACTGGGATCGCGGCGGCTTTGAGGCGTGTCCCAGCGTCCCTGCTCCGAGTCGAGACCCTGCGGAGTCAGACCTGGGACGAGACGGCCTCCCCCTCCCCGCCCTGTGGGGCCAAGTGCGTCCTGCGCTCGCGTGTGCCCCGCCGGGGACGCCGCCTCTCGCGGCGCAAGTCTCAGGGCCTCACCACAAAGCACCCGAGCCCCTGGCCCCGAGAACGAGGGTTTACTTTCTTTCTTTTTTAATCCTTGAAAACACACCTGAATGCTTTCTGAACGGGGCGCCGTGGCTGTTTGGAGACAAGACCCACAAACTACTGAACATCGGAACCTCCCTCGGCGTCTCTCTCTGCCACACGGGTGCCCTCTGGGGCCCCGGTCCTTCCGGGAGAAACGTCCCACCCGGGAGGCCGTCCCTCTCCCGGCGCCGCCCCCGCGGTTCTCACCTCGCAGCCGCTGAGGTCCAGGGACACGGCCTTCAGGTTGTGATTGCTGGCCAGGCTGAGCAGCAGCGCCCTGGGGAGGAGACAGCGGTCACCGCGCCGGCTCGGACGCGCCCGCACGCGCCGGGAAGACCACGAGCGCCTGCCCGCGTCCTCTTTAAGCTGCCGACTGCGCTTCTGCCTCTGGCAGCCAGGGACCTGGCCCTGGCAGCCTCTTCTGCTGGACACGGGGCAGGGCCCCCAGGAAGCGGACCCGACAGGACTGCCACTGGCAGGCAGACAGCCCGGCGGCACCCCGAGACGCGCATGGGAGCTGTGTGCGGCACAGAAAAGGCCCCCCCAGCCCCCCGAGACTGCTGGGGAACGGCACACGGCCCCTTTAGGATGCCGACTCGGGCGGCTTTGCTGCCGGCCGCGCCGACAGCCCGAGCCCCGGAGGCTGTCGTTTTTGCAGCGGTTCCACTTGGAAACCTCTAACGTATCGACTCAACAGCGTTTCCGAGAGAAGGGCCAGCTCCAACGTCTGACTTTTTTTTTTTCACACACTTCACTGGACAGACGTGCAGCCGCACGGGACTACGGGAAACACTGGGAGGGGGAACTGCACACGTCTCAGAAAAGGGAGAAGAGAAGGCGGTCCACGGTTCAGATGAAGACTGATGTCCTAGTAACGGGAGCAGCAGGCACTGACTTGAGCGCCATGCAGATCACAGGGGCGTCAGCGCGGACGCGCAGGCCAGCCGAGGGCGGAGCAGCCGGGTGCGTGCTGGGTGGGAGCCTGCCTGACCGCCCGGGGCCACAGTCAACGCGAAAACACATTCTCTAGACTCAGGAAGAGGGGGCTCCGTAGCCTCCTGATTCTTTCTGGGAAGGGTGAGCGGACATTTCAAGGAGGATAAGTCATCCTCAAACCCTCGTTTAGCTGAAAAGCCCAACTCCAGCGCCACACCCCCCCCCCCGCAGATGGCGCCCCACACAAGCTCCGCCCGCCCAGGGACACGCCACCTGGAGAGACCAAGGACATCCAGACACCAAGGCACCTGAAAATCAATTCCGCTGCCCACGTGTGTGTAGAGTTTGATTATTACTGCTCGTAGAACTCTTGGGAATACCGATTAAAGACACACACATGTGCAAGAAAACACTAAAAGTGGCCCGAACGGGGGTCCACTGACAGGTAGCCACACCAGGGAACACACACACACTTACAGCCTGTGGTCGGCGCCTGTGACCACGGTCCCCACGGAGGGGAGGGCTCCCCCCCACCCCCCACCCCCCCACCCCCCCACCCCCAGGAGAGGCCAGAGCAGCAACAGTGGGCAGCACACTGCGAAGGAATCAGACTCCCTTCTGCCCAGAGCACGTGAGGTGAGGAAGACCCTCGGTCTTACTAGGACGACACGCCTTCCCCCCTTCCCTGGGGGGCGCCCGTCTCCTGCGCCGACCTCTCCGAGCCCCGGAGGGGAGGGACGGTCCACTCACTTCAAGGGCTCGGGGGCCAGCTTCGTGCCGGACAGGTTGATGTGCGTCAGCGCCAGGGAGCTGCCGAAAAACTGCTTGAAGGACGGGGGCACCTCCTTGCCTTTCCTGAAAGACAAAACCCGGAGTCACCCTGGCCCTCGCTGCCCGGCACCCGACTTCCAAGCGGCCGCACCGCCCCACCGCAGGCCCACACGCCGCGACACGCGTGACGGGTGTGGCTCCCAGAGCCAAGGCCACGAGGCCGGCCCACGAGGGACACGTCCCACAGCCACTGTGGCTGGGAGCCACGGAAATGGGGCGGGAGGGCTGTCTGTTCCCGGAGCCCGTCCTGCCTGTCGCGCCCACGGAGAGGCCTGAGGACCGGGGCTGGGACAGCAGCCTGGCGGGCGGCCCACAGCCCAGTGCCGGCGCGGCGACCTCGAGGTCATTGCTAAGGGCTCCGTGTGTGTGTGTGTGTGTGTGTGTGTGTCCAGTTTAACCCCAACCTTCCACGTGGAAGACACGCGATTTGTGAGCACGGTCTTTCCCCACACGTGGAGCAGCCCACGCCTGAGGACCGGTCATCACGGACGCCACGGGAGAACCGATGGCATGGAACCCTCGCGGCCTGTGACCCGGGCCCTCGGTCCACCCGGCTCCGCCCACGCACGGCTGCCCGGCTGCCGTCCACCCGAGAGCCAGCTGCGTCGTCTCAGTCCACGCTCGGACTCGGGGTCCCTCAGACGCCCAGCCCCCCGACCGCGCCCCGCCGATGCGCCTGGGGCACGTGCGCGCCGTGGCAAAGGTGCGAGTCGCTCGGGGGCACCCACGGGACTCCAGAATACAGAGTGATTCACCCGCAAGGCACAGCAGCGGCATAAAGCTCGCGGAGCAACGGCACTCCCCACACGCACAAGGGTGGTCCCTGTGGGTGCAGGAGCTGTGGGAGAGTCAGCCGAGGAGCCGGGGGCAGCTCTAGCTTTGTAAGCGACTCCCCGCGTCACCCAGGAGCGAGCAGTGGCTACAGCAGCGTCCGCGGCTCGGGGTCACGGAGAGGGGTGCTCAGTGTTGTTGGCCTGCGCTGACCCCCCCGAGGGCCCCGCACACACGCACTTGTCCCGATTCCTCCCTGTCCCCCCCCACCCCACGTGGCTGCTGCCGCTCGGGAACACTCGCTGCTTCCAGTTCTCAGCCCTGTCCTGCCAACGGTTCTCAGTCCACCAGGCAGCAGCGAGGGCCTCAGGCGGGCCCCCCCGCTTGTCCGAATGACCCTGCACGGGTTTGGGGGGGACCATCCCTCTGATCCCCAGGGGCTTCTGTTCACCTCCGGGTTCACCACCGGGGAACCCCTGCGGCAGCGGCTGAGAGCCCCCCGCCCCCCCGGACCGACAGCACGCCGCCCCGCAGCCCTCGCAGGCCCGGCTTCCTCGCGAGAACACCGAACCGCGGCGCGAGAGCAGCAGCCGCAGAAACGTGACCTTTCCGGGCCTCGGGTTCACAGACACGTGTTCGTGGAGGCCACGTCCTCCTCTCACGCACGACCGTCACCCTCTGTCGCTCTGCCGTCACGACCGGCAGGGTCCCCCGGGGGACGGGCGGGCGGGGGCCGGCGTACCGGTGCGAGAAGACGGCCCGGGAGAGGTTGAGCACGGCGAGGTACTGGAGGCACCCGCGGAGCAGCGCGCCGCAGACCTGGGGAGACAGGGCGCCCCGTTCTCACAGCGCTCCCGGCCGGGGAACCAACCCTTCGTGGGCGACACCCCCCACCCCCACCCCACCCCCACCCCCACCCCACCCCGGACCAGCACAGGACCGTTACCATGTCCAGGGAACATTCTGTGTTGGATAGATCCAGGTGGGCGAGGGCATTCGGCTGGGCCAAAAAGCTGTACATGTGCTTGGAATAAAAGACAAAAAGCAAACACGTTAGGATCTAGAAACACGGGCCCCACGCAGAGCAAGGTAACACTCCAGAACGCGGCCACCCAGACCCTCCCAGCACTGCCCTCCAGCCTCCGCACGAGAATGGGCAGAAGTTCACGCCCTTGAGTTCTCTCTCCGGGGAGCAAAACACTCCAAGGGAGAGTTAAAATGAAAATTATGTGTGAGGAAAGATAAGGCCAAATGGAATCTCGGCTACAAACTCTCGTTTTTTGCACACGTCCTACTTTTCCCGATCGGCCCCGTTTTCAGGACCTGGGGACAGTGGCAGCGAGCGTCCCCTGCTGCGGCGGACGCGGCCCCTGGAGGGGAGTCGCCCCGAGAACACGCCGTCACTCCTGAAACCCCTCGAGGAGCCACGAGCTTGACTCTGAACCCGGAGGGACGGTCTCGGGCTGCACTCTCTCTGTCCACGCGACCCTCCTCCTGCCCTGCGTCTCGTCCAAGGCCAGCAGGACAGAACCCAGGGCGTTGTCCACTTTGTCTGGTTTCCATCTCCCACGAGGCTGAGACCCGGCAGGTTTCGGGGGGGGCCCCCGATGCCGGGACCCTGGCCCCCCACCCCCGCCGTGTGCGAGGCCACCGGCCCAATGAAGCCAGTGGGTCCCTGTCCACCCCCACGGCCCAGTTCTCCGACGTGTGAGCAGCACCTGCCGGGTGGGTCAGTGACACCAGACCGGCTGCGTCAGGACGAGTTCTCACTGGGCAGGGGGCCCGGCTCTGGGCTCCGCCCCCCTTCACCGGACGCGCGGTTGTGCTCCCGGCCACCAGCGGGGGGAGCCCTCATCGCCTCCTGTGCTCACAGGACCCTGCTGGGGGGACCCTGTGGCTCAGGGCCAGGTGAGGGCTCCCTGCACCTGCACCAGCACCTGGTCGGTGGGGAGCGTGCCTTCAGCCAGGGCTCTCATCTGTCACTGCCAGATTCTGGGGGCTTCCATCTCGGGGCGGTGCAGGGGGACCAGTCCCCGTGCCGGGGACAGGGGAACGGGGCGGTGGGGGGGTGGGGGCGGTGCCCGGGAAGGGTGCTGCCCGAGGTTTCAAGTGGAAGGGGCACCGGCCCGGGGGCGACACTCGCTGCCCAGCGGGGGAGGGGCACGCGGACGGGAAGCGAAGAGGAGGGTCACCGTGTTTTCACCCCCAGAGAGTGGGACTAAGTGAGTCGGGTCCCCACTTGTGTGTGGTCCCCAAACTCTGTGACGGGACCCGAGGGCCCACGGACCGCATCGGGCGGGGACATCACTCCTGGCCCCCAGCACCCCTGGTTTCCGCCAGGCACCTGCAGCGAGCGGCGGTGCGGCTGCACGGGAAACCTCGTGCTCCAGGTGCGCGTGGGGGGGGGGCGTCCCCTGCATGCACACGCCCGGAGAGCCCCGCCCCCGCCGACCCGCCCCCACTCCCTGCTGTGTCCGTGGAGCACGGGACTGGGCCCGCCCCAGATGACTGGGCGTCAACCGCCCACCACACACAGAAAACACGCGTGTCCCCAACAGAAGAATTTACCGGTGACACGGCTCAGTTCCCGTGACCCACCTTTCCTACCGGGGACGATAACGTTTTCAAACCAAGAAAAAAACCCCTTCAGACAAAGTATCTCAAAAAGAACTTACACCTCAGCAACAGTAAACGGGGGAGAGAAAACAAAAAATCCATGTGACAGGGGACATTTAGTTACGGAAGGCTCTGAAATTTTCTGGAAAACATTCCACAGGCTCATCATAAACCTCGTGATTCCCAGGGGTCACGTGCAGGGGTGTCCGACCTCGGGCGCCTCCGGGCCCCCCTGGAAGGGGCAGCGCTGTCTGGGGCCGCCCCGTAAACACACAGACGCTGGCGAAAACCGATGCGCAGGGAAAGGTTTCGGGTAAACACACGGTTTTGTGTCGGGCCCCTCCTGGGCCGCGTGCACCCGCAGCCCGCAGGCGGGACGCCCCTGGGGGGGGGGGTGCCGGGCAGGAGGCCGGAGCGCCGCGCATGGGCACCACTCCCGAGCCGGGCCGCGGGCTCGGCGGGCGGCCGCCGCAGGAGGGGGGGAACCCACCGAGAGGTCGTCTCCGCGGAGGACGTTCCCCGAGAGGTCCAGGTGGCAGAGGGTGGTGGCGGTCAGCGGGTTGGCACTGAGGGACTGGGAAAGGCTGCTCACCCCTGCAACAGCGAGAAGATGCGGGTCAGTCCCCACCCCGGGGGGCACGGTGCACGGTGAGTCTCTACACGGCACACGGGGCCCCGCCGCCCGTCACCCTGCGGGGCTGAGCCGGGGGGAGAGCGCCCCCTGGGGGAGGGCGGGGTGGGCGCAGAGCCGCGAAGCCACCGAGTGGAAGAACCTGGCGCAACCGTGACATACTGTCCCACGTGTTCCGACGTGGACGCAAAAGGTTTTACTTCGACGGCTGAGAACAAAGCAGGCGACCCGACCGTCTCTCTCTCCCCCCGCCCCTGCCGGCGGCTCCCGGCTCAGCCCGGCGTGAGGTCCTCGGTGATGTGGGTGACGATGCAGGTGCTCCATCTCCCGAAACACCCGGGGGCCCGTGGGGGTGCGCTGCCCCGCCCCGCCTGGCGTGGGAGCCCCGGCAGGACCGGGGGCGGGGGGTGGGCCTCACAGAGGGGACGCCCGCGTGCACAGCAGGAAACGCAGCCCAGAGACAACGCCCGTCTTGAACTCTGCCCACTGTGCACACCGGTCACTTCCCGGCTCCCTGGGAGTGGACGGAACGAGGCCAGAAACGCCGCCTCCGGAACCAGAACCAGGAAGGAACACACGGTGTGGGGCCGGGCGGGAGGGGGGGTCGTGCCCGTGGGTGCCAGGCCTGCGACCCGGGCCGGGCCACAGTGGCTTTCTAGCAGGCCACTCCCTGTCAGGGACAGCGCGGGCTCCAGGAGGGTCCCGAGAGGTCGTGCAGGGGGACAGTCACCGATCCCGACACGGCAGGGACACGGGCCACCGCCAGTGCTTCCTGTTTGCGCCAAAACCCCGAGGTTCTCCCTGCATGTTCTGGAAACACGGCTGTTCCTAAACTGAGCATGCTTTTAGAAGTTAGTTTGTTTTTCTAATTTTCAGTGAAATCCCTGAGGATCTGGGCTGTGCCTGACGAGAAACAGGACAGGGGTCTTGTCCCCAGGTGGCCAGGACCCCCACTGGGACGAGGGGCCGGGCCAGGCCCAGGCTGCCCGCCGGGGGCCTGAGACCCTCTGGACAAAGAGCAGCGGGAGGTGCAGGGGAGCGGCCCCGGGTGTCTCTGAGCAGGTCGCCAGAGCCGTGGTGTCGTGGGGGGGGTGGGGGGGGGGTGGGAACGGGGGTGGAGCGAGAAATAGTTTACTGAAGTTCGAGGAGGAATTTCTTGGCCACCGACTCGACATTTACTAAGTGCTCGTAACATGTTTGTTCAAGGCCGGGATTTAGGGAACTAAGGCCCGTTCTTCGCCCTCGAAAAAGTTCAGAGGAACCGGACTCCGGGGGTGGGAGTCGGCGCGCAGGGAGCAGTGATTCACGGCTGCGGGTCTTTGAGGGAAGCCACTGCGTCCCGGCCTGGACCGCGGGGACCCGGGGGCCACCGCCTGGCCCCCCACGTCCGACCCAGGGCGATGGGGGAGGCGGGGCGGGAAGGAGAGAGGCAGGGCGGTCGGGCCGAGCAGAGGCATGAGAAACGAGCCCACATGGGCAGCCGTGGGAGCCACAGAGGCCCGCGCGGCCTGAGGACGCTGGCCTGCTGGGGGGGGGAGGTGACGTCAGCGGTGGTGTGTGGGGCCCAGCTCCTCCGTCTGCCCGGCCCTGGAGCCACTCACGCCTCCTGTCTCGGGGAGCCTGCGTCCCCGGCAGGTGCGGAGCCCACCAGACTCCCACCGGGACGGTCACCTGTGAAGCCGTTTCCTCCTCGAGCCGTAACCGACCTCAGTGGGCCAACCCCCAGGAGGGCCGGGCCGGTCAGTGCGGACAGCACAGCGCCCTCCAGTGGGCGCCGACGCCGGCGGGAAGAATCCCATTCTGCGCCCGGCCCCACGCTACTTCGCGGAGTGGGGGTCCCCGGCCACCCTCGAGAGCCCGCACGCACGGGACGCCTGAGTTCACGGGCCCCTCAGCAGCGGGAAACCCACAAACGTGGGATGGAAAACGTTCGGCCTCGCCCCGCCCACTGCCCGGCCTGCGGGCTCGGCTGCCTGGCGGCTCTGCCGCTCCCGCGGGCGCCCGGCGGAGACTTCGCAGCCGGAGCGGGTGGCGGCCGATGGCCTGGGCCGACACAGCCCGGCCGCCGGCAGGCGGGCCCTGGAGACCCAGAGAGCCGTCACGCCGCGGACATCTGCAGAGGGGACGGCGTGTCTGGGGCAGCGTGCAGGTCGTGGGGACATGAAACAACTCCCTCCTGAATTCCGGGGCCAGGACGCCGAATGCTTCCCGACAACCGACGACCAAACCAGAGAGGCCGGCCGAGCTCCACAGGGGCTCACGGCCGCGGCCGAGGGCGCAGCCCCATCAGCTCCCGCGGCCGGCGGCAGGGGCCACGGACGCTTTAAACTTCAGCGCTTGGGTCACACGGCACATCCATGTGCACAGGGAGTTGTGGGAGCTTCCAGGCCGGGGACCACGGCCACACCAGCCGGGTGACCACCCAGATCTCCTCCTGCGGGGGCTCATCGGGCCTCTAGCGCATCCCCCAGTCAACTGGGAAACGCCAGGACGGGTTTTCCCTGAGCTTGCTGGGCCACTCCTGCAAACCCATCAAATCTGGGCTGGGGCATCGGAACCTCCGCTAACCCAGCCTCGACTGGGCATCTGCCGCAGGGGAAGGGGTGCAGCCTGGTGGGACTGGGCCCTCCCCCAAGGCCCCAACACCGTCCCCCGCAGCCAGCATCAGAACCGAGCCGACTGTGGGACACCCGCCAGCACCGGCAGCGGCCTGGTGCAGGCATGGGCCCGGGGCCGAGGGGCCCGGGCGCAGCGCTGTGCTCGAGCGGAAGAGGGGGCGCACGGCAGGGGCGCACGGGAAGAGAGCGGGGCCTCCCTCTCTGCACGGGACGGAGGGGAGTTTTCAGGCAGACGGCAGGCGTGCACGAAGGCCCGGCGCTCATGGCGAGGTGTCGGGGCTCACCGTGCGCTGCCGACCTGCGGAAGCGAGAGTGGGCGGGGCCTGCGGAGCGCGGGGAGGCCCGAGGGAGGGTGGGGAGCAGGAGCGCCCCGGGAAGGGCGAGCCGAGAGCGGAAAAGGGGGGGACAGGACTGGCAGCAGGTCCCAGGTCCCCTGACAGCTGGGGGTGGGTGGGGGCGGGGTACGAGGGGGAAGCAGGGACACAACCCACGACTCCGCGTGTATTTCACAATTGTTCTCGACTCTGGAAGCGCTTTAGACGACTACACAGAATCCCCATCTCCTAACTTCCCCCTAAAACTGCCGGCATGGGGTGAAACATGCATGTTACGTGCAGACACATAGCTCAGCGATGGTCCCAGTCCAGGCCCCACAGCGCAGCAGACACACGGCGGGCGGAAAGGGGGTGAACGAGAGACACGGTACCTTTCGGAGACAGTGAGGTCTTAGACAGGTTTAAATGCTTCAGTCCCTTCGGGAGTTTGGCAAACTGGACACTCAGCGAGGACACACCTGAGGACGGAAAGGACGCAATGAGGGCTTCCGAGGCCCCGAGGGCGTCTGTTTCCCACGGCCTGAGAACCCAGCCGAAGTCTGAGGGGCGGCCGCCTCTCCTTCCCGGTGCCGGCCCTCGTGCCCCGACCGACCGTCGGCCCTCGGCCTCCTCCCCTTCCCGCCCCACGGGGTCGGAGGGGAGGAAGGTCGTTGGGTTGGGGGTGACGGTGTCCAGTCTTGACGGTCAGAGACGGTTCTCTCTGGGCCGGGTCCACGCACTCCTCGCGGTCCTGTCTCAAGTGCAAACCCTCTGGGGGGAGCGCCATCCCCGGCCCCCGCCCTCCGGCCTGCATCTCCACGCGCCCGTCGGGCCCCTGGGCAGCAGGTGCGTCCACGCCACCCAGTTCTCGTCCAGAGAAGCAGTGCGGTCAGCAGTGCTCAGGGAACAGCTCTGCTTCCTGCGGACGGATTCCAGCACGTCCCTGGCACCTGGCGAACCACCTCGGGCGACGCAGCAGCCTGTGCTGTAAGTTCTCAGAGGTGGGTTTTGGGGCCTGAAGTAGCTCCCGGGGAATTCATGGGACCGACAGCCAGACAGTCCCCGGGTGTGAGAGCCGCATGACCTGTAGTCACTTCTCATCCAAGGGCGGCAATAAACACGCTATTTCCCGGGAGGAAAGAGGTAACACGTGTGAGTGAGTGTGAGTGTGAGCATGAGTGTGAGTGTGAGCATGAGTGTGTGTCTGTGCCCACCTGCTGCTGCAGGAGAGTCACCGGCTCCGGGGACCCCTGGGCTGGGTGCGGCCCGCCAGGGCAACCCCAGTGCCCTGCAAGCTTTCCCGAAGGTCGTCGGCAAACACTGAGGGTCGTGCAGCCTGACCGAGGGCCCAGGTGGGTCCCCCCACGACGGTGGGTGTTCTGGGGGCCCCGGCCTATCTCTCCACAGAGTTTCAGTGTCAAACACACTCGACCACCACTGGTTTAAATGATGTTTAACGGGTTTTCTATCTGAATATTTCTAGAGACTTGAATATGTTAACCCACGTTATTTATTGCAAAGAGAGGGCAGGCCTGATATCTAGTGGATACATTCTTGTAGAAGAATGAGTAACTAACAAGTCACTGTGGGGGGTGGAGATGGGGTGACTTTTAAAGCCCGACCACCCCAACGGCGAGACCGATGTAAGAAATGGGTCGTCTCGACTGTCCCCTGTCGAGTCGAGAAAATAAACCCGTTATTACAAACCTCCCCACAAAGACAAGCAAAAGAAACCCAGGGTGGCCGAGGACGCAGCACGTAAACCTGCGCCTGTGAAGTTCAGGACTAAACCAGGCCGACCCAGCCCCAGGGGATCAGAAGACTGGGTGCCTCCCAGGCGGCGGAGGGCAGGGCGGCCGCCGCCGGCCCCCCCACACGGGGACACAGCGGGGCCCTGGCGACGTCCCAGCTCTCGGTCTGGGTCCTCTCTGCACGGGAGCGCTCGGTTCTAGAAACTCATTACGACGCGAACTCGGGACCGTGGGCCTCTCTGAGTGCGCACTTGTTTCAGAAAGCCAGCTGGGGACAGTCACCGAGGAAACCACAGGTGGCCTTGGGCTCGGCGATGGCTCTCAGATACAACGCCAAGGGCACGGTCCACGAGAGAGATCATCGATCCTCGGAACCCGACCAAAGTCAAGACTTCCCGTTCTCGGAGAGACGATGTCAAGGGGACGAGGAGACAAACCGCAGACAGCAAGACAGTGTTTGCAGATGCCACAGCGGCCCAAGCACTGTGACCCAGAACACGCCGAGACCTCTCCAGCCTCAACAACCAGAAACTAACGTCCCCGGCTGGTGTAGCTCAGTGGATTGAGCGTGAGCTGCGAACCAAAGCATCGCAGGTTCGATTCCCAGCCAGGGCACATGCCTGGGTTGCAAGCCATGGCCCGCAGCAACCGCACATTGATGTTTCTCTCTCTCTCTCTGTCTCCCTCCCTTCCCTCTCTGAAAATAAATAAATAAAACCTTAAAAAAAAAAAGAAGAAAAAAAGAAACCAAACAGCCCGACTGAAATGGGGGCCAAAGACCCGAGCACGCAGCTCGCCGCAGCAGAGAAGCGGAGGGCGAGGACGCACACGGGAAGATGCCCCACGCCGGCCGGCCGTCGTCAGGAAGTCGCAAACTCAAACCACGAGGAGACGCCACCACACACCCATCGGAACGGCCGAGAGCCAGGGCCCTGGGGACCCCGAGTGCTGCGAGGACGTGGGGACATGGGGACACGCCCTCACTGCTGCTAGGCGCGCAGGCGGTGCGGCCGCTGGGGGGACAGCGGGATGCTCTGGTTCTTACAAAACTAAACACACTTGCTCCTTGGTGTTCACCCCCCAAACTGCACGAGACGTTCTGGAAAAGGCAAAACCAGGGAGACGGGGAAAAGATCGGCGGCTGCCAGGGCATGGGGGGTGGGGGGTGGGGGGTGGGCGTGGGGGGGGGGTGGGGGGTGGGGGGGGGGACAGGTGCGGCACGGCGGACATTCCGGGCAGCAAGAACGCTCTGTGTGAGGCCGTGATGAGGGCCGAGTGTCATTATTAGCACGGGCAAACCCACGGAACACACAGCCCCAGGGTGGCCGTGGATGCCGGGTGGTGATGATGGGGCCGTGTCGGTTCCTGGGCTGTGACCCGTGTGACATCGGTGGGGGCGCTGACAATGGGGCGCCCGGGCACGGGGGGGACAGGAGGTCGGGGGGGGGGCGGCGGGGGGATGGCTGTGCCTCCCTCTCAGCCGGGCTGCGGACCGAGACACCAGGGTCTCGTTTTCTAATTGCGACCAAAGTCATCACTGCCCACTCGTGACCAACTCCTTGACGGATTCCGAGGCTTCACGGTGGTTAAAAAACCCTCCGAAGCCCGAACCCCGCGTCTTCAGATGCCTCTGGACTCTGAACGCACCGTCTGTTACAGCACAGCCAAAACTCTCCGCCGAGCGCCACGGGGCGGTGCCAGGCCGACCTGGGTGGCTTCGGCTTCTGCTCTTCGAGCAAAGGACCGTTTTAAAACCGTGTGTGTGTGTGTCGGGCGCCCCCGTAAGACTTCCTCAGGCCGTAAACGCCTAAACCAAGCGCAGGGCCAGAGCAGCAGCAGCAGCAGCAGCGGCGGCGGCAGTTTGACGCCACCCACCCGCCTGCTCACGCCTTCCCCACGAACTCGCTGGAAGGAGAAGGTCGCCCACAGGAGGGAATGCACGGTCGGCCGCATTTTCCCGGGGAAGCCAGGTGGCTGCACCACCAGGGACACGCGAAGCTCCTGAGTGGGGGGCGAACGGAAGCGCGTTTGGTCTTTCGTGTGGAAGGAAGAGAAAGCAGGGCTCCAGGTGAACGGGGCGGAGGGCGCAGGAGAGCAAGGCCTGGGAGACGAGGTTCTCCCTCCGCTGCAGCCGAGTTACCAGCTTCCTTCTGGACACACACCTTCAGGCCCCGGCCGCCCCGGACCACGGCCTCCTCTCCGCATTTCTTCTCTAGAGAAACACCCGGGCCGAGGGCTGAGGGAATGGCGCGGCGACGCTTATTTTTATTCAAACTCAAGAGAGAGAATTAGACAGGCCTGCGACAAGGACGTGACGTCACTGCGCAAAGGGTCCCCACTCCGGCCGACTTCTGTCTGGGGTCTTGGCCGCGTGGACCCGCTGAGAGCGGCCGGCAGCCGAACTCGCAGGAAAAGCAGAGCAAGCCCCGGCCCTGTCCCGCCCGGAGCTCCCTCTCGCCGGACGGGGCCGCGCAGGGACGGCCACCAGGAAATCGTGCCCCACGGAGAGGAGGCACGAAAGGCGTTCCAGCGTCCAGCCCCGACTCCTCCATCCGCCCTCCCCCAAACCCAGCCTCCAGCCTCCAGCCTCCAGCGCCGGGAAGGAAAACCAAGTTCACCCCTGAAAGCCTTTGTTTGCAGGCTTCCCAGGTTGGATTACCCACTCTGTGACCGACTTTTTAAATTTTTTTAAAGATTTTATTTATTTATTTTCAGAGAGGGAAGGGAGGGAGATAGAGAGAGAGAGAGAGAGAAACATCAATGTGTGGTTGCTGGGGGCCGTGGCCTGCAACCCAGGCACGTGCCCTGACTGGGAGTCGAACCTGCGACACTTTGGTTTGCAGCCCGCGCTCAATCCACTGAGCTACGCCAGCCAGGGCTATGGCCGACCTTTTCAGTCTGCGTCGACCTTGGAAGAGAAACACAGGCTCGTTCCCACTTCTCCGTTCGGAACAAAACCACGGCAGCTCCCTCTGCTTGGAAGCATTTATGCCGAAGAAAAAGGTAATTACCGAGTGTTCAGTGTTGCAATTTGCCATCTGACGCTATTAACGCGCACACACAGGAAACTCAACGTGAGGTCGCAGGTTCGTCCGCTAATCTCGGGGGCCCTTGGAAGCCTGTCACAGCGCCACACGCCATCCTCACCGCGGCTGCTCTGCGCCAGAATGGTCCCCACGGCGGGAAAAGGGCTGGAGAAGGCCCGTGGCAACTGAACGCATCGATATTAACAACGTAGCAAAGTCCTGCCCCTGGACTCCTAGCAGCACGACCCGGGAAACCACAGGCCTCCTTCTCGCCCGGGGAAAGGACGGAGATTTCTGACGCCAGGCCGGCGTCGGGAGGCAGGTGAGTCGCCAGGTGTCTGCCGGGTCCCGCGGGCTCCCTGGCGCGTGCAGACGCGCGGGAGAGGGGAGTGAGTAAACGAAACGCAGCGGGTGTCCCCACCTCCACCGCAGGCTGGGAGAACGCGGGAGAGCACGGGGGCCGCGGGGACAGGGGACGCTCGGAGGAAGGGGGGTCAGTGCACCGGACGCCCCAGCGACGCAAATCCAAACCTGCGCCGGCTTTAAAATCAGGTTTTCCCGTGTGCGGCCATGAAAAGCGTCTGTCTGATATTAGGAATCAGGAGAGAATGACTTCTGTGTTGTGAGTGTCACTCAAACCTCACGCCCTCAACCACTGAAATGACTCCTTAAGGAAAGGTGTTGACATGGCCTGGCTGGTGTGGCTCAGTGGACTGAGCGCCGGCCTGAGAACCAAAGGGTCGCCGGTTCGATTCCCCGTCAGGGCACAGGCCTGGGTTGCTGGCCAGGTTCCCCAGTGCGGGGTGTGCGAGAGGCAACCACACACTGATGTGTCTCTTCCTCTCTTTCTCCCTCCCTTCCCCTCTCTAAAGGGAGGGAGGGTACTGGACGTGCTGGAGAAGCCAGCGGCGGTCACACAGCACCGAAGTCCTGGCTTCCACGGGCCACTTGGCCACGGTCTGAGCCCCAGGCTGACGGATCCTGGGACGGCCCTCGCAGGGGGTGTGACGCCGGCCCTGGGTAGGACCCCCCAGGCTCCCCGCACATCACGGGACCAGCGTTTGTTCACCCACGAGAGAGAGGACAACAACGCCCGCACTACGGAACTTCACGGGCTGTTTCAGGAGCCAGACGAGGTGGGAAAAGCGACCGTGTCTCAGGCAAGCGCCTTGTGACACCCTGTCTGTCCCCCGGACAGGCCGCTTTCTCAGCCCACCCCAGGCCCCCTAGCGGACAGGTGCTGTAATTGTCTGTTTTAGAGACAAGCAAACTGAGGCCTTAGGTAACTTGTCCCAGGGAACTCCGCTGGGAAGGGGCAACGCCCGGAACGGAACCCCCCATGTTGGCTGCAGACGCCGCCAGCAGACGCCCCGAGGCCGACAGGAAGGGGTGGGCGGCCGTCCCAGAGTCAGTTTCTGCGTCTCATTAGGAGGATGGAATCGGAGCCGCAGCAGATGGTCCTGAGAAAACCGTGTGGGCGCTTCGGGTCAATATTTGCCAAAGAAAAACACTCTGAGGCAGGGTTCTCGGTCATCTCCAAGCAAAACAATCCAATTTAGAACAAAGGGAGGGGAGGGGAGGGAGGGGGAGGGGGCGGGGAGGGGACAGACATTCCCGAGAAGGCCGAGGTCAGGAAAACAGAACGTGCGTGTGCAGCGTTTGGGGTGGGGCGTGTGGAATGGGCAGAGCGGACCCCCCCAAAAAAAATGCCCCCCCGGTCCAAGGAACCAGGTCAGGGCCCCCGAGGGCCGAGACCAGGAGGCGAGCCAGAGCTAAGCCCAGGCAGCCGGGGCCCCGCGGAAGGACGTGGGGCCACAGCAGGATGTCCGAGCCTCTGCCGCCAGGACCCCGGGACCCCGGGACCCCGGGACCACACAGAGCTGCCGTGGGGAGCGGGACCCTCTGGCGACCACAAGCGCACAGGATACCGAAAACCGCAGCGCCCCTGGACGGTGCTCCCTGGCGCTTCCCACCCTTTTGACTGGTTTTCACGATCGTCAGGGACTGTCAAGTTCACGTCGTGACCTCCCAGGACCCTGTCGGCCGACAGTGACCTTGAGTCCCTCTCGTCAGAGAAACAGAGCCGGCCCAGCCCTGCCGCCTGCGGCGGGCAGCCACGCGGTCCCCACGCCCTCGCGGCGTCCTCCCCGTGGCATTTCCCCTAGAGGCGGGACTGTGTCCACGGACACCCTGCCCCAGGGCTGCGCCTCCGTGGCCCCCAGCCACGGCCCAGCCCGGCAGCTGCCCCCGTGGGGCCGCGTGCCCAGCCCCCTCTCTACAGGAAGCTGGGACGGGACTCGTGAACTTCTGCTCAGACGCCACGTGGGGACCTTGTCAACGAAAGGCCGAGTCCGTCTCGGAAACAGGGAGCAGATGGAGGGTCCCTGCCGGCACCCGCAGCTCCGCGTAGGAACTGATCCCGTCACATACGCACCGTTCTGGGGGGGAAAGGCCCCCCTCAGCTCCGCTGGGGCAGGACACCTGCACCCGGCGACGGGGACAGAGGCGCCCGGTGGGACGAGGCTGTTTGCTCTCAAAGCCATCCACCTGCGCTCACAGATGCCTCCGGGGGGGGGGGGCACCCTCGGTGCGACCCTGCGCCTCGCCCCGAGCTCCAGCCCAGCCCCGCCCCCCGAGTCTCACGTTCAAGTCTCGTGACGTGTCAGACGGCACCTGCGGCTGGCAGACCTATGCGGTGCCCCCGCCCCCAGGACTCCTGCCCCCAGCCCAGTACCGGCGCCTGGAGGACGACCCCGGGGCGGGGGGGGACTGAGGACAGTGATGGGCTGTCACCGGAGTGACGGGGTCGCCACGCAGCTGGCTGTGAGCTCACCAGAGGGAGCCTGTCCTGGGTGGGCCGGCCCGATCTGCTCCTCCGTCTGAAAAGTGGGGTGAGCGCTGGCCGGCCGGGGGAGCGCGGTCAGCCCGCACACTGGGAGGAGACGGGCCCCACGGCGGGGCCCGGGAGGGGTCCCTGCTGGCCCTGCCGGCCACCAGCAAGCAGACGGGGACCTTGGTCCGGGAGCCCCAAGGGGACTCCACCAGCCGTGAGCTGAGGGGGGCCCCAGGTCACCAGGAGGTCACAGCCTGGCTGGCAACCGAGCGGCAGCCCCCCGACACAGAGCAGAGCACCGGCCCACCCGACCGCCCCCCCCCCGCAGGCCCGGGAAACGGGGGAGACCGTACGCCTGAGTCCCCGCAGGCTGCCGGCCGGTGGGGACTTGCTGCGGGCGAAAGGGAACTGGCTCGACAGCGTGAACCCTCTCCTCCCTCCTGTGGGCGCCAGGCAGACACGGCTCCGCGACAGAAGGTCGGCCGCCCCGCCCGCCCGGCCCCCGCCCCGCCCGCCCGGCCGCCACGGTACCTCGGTCCTCCAGCGCGTTGCCAGCAAGGTCGATGGTGTGCAGCGCGGAGCCCGGGTTGTGCGCCAGCGCACTGGCCAGCCTCTGGGCAAAGTCTCTGCAAGGGAAGGGCCCAGTGAGAGGGGGGAGTCGCGTGGCACGCAGCCCGCGCCCGCACCGACAGCCGCTGGCCGGACAGCCGCAGCGGCGGGCGCTCCCTTCCCCGCCGCGACCTGGGCGGCCCCCGTGTGTTAGCGCCCGGTCTGTCCCGCGTGCGTGTGCGTCCTCGCGTGAGAGGCCGTGAGCTCACAGCGGCACTTGGCTCAGTTCGACGGTGGCACCAAAACCGCATTCCGGTGCAAAGAGAAAACGTGCGACTGCCCCGGGGAAGACCCGCTTTTGGGCGCCATCGGCCCCTGCGGAGCGCAGAGCAGCGCCCCTGGGCGCAGACCGGTGGCCGCTCTGGCCACAGGGCTTAACGCCGGCAGTTGCTGGCGCCACATCCCGCCAAAAACCAGAAGGGCTGTCGGGTGTGTGCGTCCGAGAGGAGCACCCCGCCTGCTGTGACGGTGGTGCCCCCCCCACCCCCCGCCCAGCAGCCCCAGAGCCTTGGTTCCCAGATCCCGGCTCTGCTGCGGCCCCACGGGCTCGGGCGGCAGCCTCGGAACCACGGGGTGCGAGAGGGCGTGAGTGTGGCTGTGCGGACGGCCAGCACCGAGCACGGCCAAGGAGTAAAATGACACGCACTGGGCCTGGCTGGGGCGGCCCCGTGGACTGAGCCACCAGTGACCAAAGGGTCCCCAGTTCGACGCCCAGTCAGGGCACATGCTTGGGTTGCAGGCCTGGTCCCCAGTAGGGGGCGCACGAGAGGCAACCACACACGGATGTTTCTCTTCCTCTCTTCTCCTCTCCAAAAATAAATAAAATCCTTTAAAATTTTTTAAAATATGCAATAGGTTGTCATGACAACGACCATTGGTGACACTGATAAAAGTTAACGTAGCACCTGGAACAGGAAGGATCCTTTTCTAAGCCCTTTATGTAAGCTTCTTCATTTACTCCCAGAGCTGCCACTTCATAAGGAAGGTGCTGACACGATCCCCGTTCCGAAGCTGAGGCACAGGGAGCGGAAACACCCTGTCCAAGGCCACGAGCGTCTGGCCCGAGGGTCCATGCCCTCGACCTCTCTGTGCCGTCAAAAGCATCCCGTGACCCAAGAGCAAATGACGCCATAAAACCCGTCCTCTGTGGTCATGACGGGGATTCCGGGAACTCCTTCTTGGGAGGGAAGACACGGCATTCTGTGCGTGAGGATGAGGGGTCCAGCTCCCTTCGAACTGCGTGTTGGCGCCAGGGAAAGGGGCGAAGGGCCCTGAAGCAGCGTGGCCGCCGCTCGCGCGGGGAACACTCACGCTCGCAGTCCGGCGTTCTCCAGCACCAGCTCTTCCAGCCGACCGGACCTGCTCACCACCCGCAGCACGTGCTCGCAGACGTCGGCGGACTGCGAGAGAACGCACCACGTGAGCGCGCCGGGGTCGGACGCCGCCGCTCGGCCCACGCGGACGTGGCGCTGGGGCTACGCCGACCGTCCACGCGCTCATGCAGTCACTCAGCAAACCCTGGCTCCCCGGCGACCACGACGCACCATCGGGCCGCGGGTCCTGGGGCTGCAGGGACAGGACGGACACATCCCTGCCGTCGGGAGCGTGCCGCCGGGCCGGGGGGTCAGAGGGGAGAAAACACCGAGGGTGTGTGACAGGGTGGTGAGGAGGACGTCCGGGCGAGGCTCTGGGAAAACCGAAGGGAATTCCCAAGGGAAGGGGCTCGCAAACCGGAGAATAAAGGCTAACAGGCAGCGATGGTGGTGGTGGTGGTGATGGTGGTGGTGATTGTAATGGTGATAACGGTGACGGTGATGATGGTGGTGGTGGTGGTGATGGTGGTGATGGTGGTGGTGGTGGTGGTTGTTAGAATTTCTACGCTTTCTATGTGGATCTCAGTAACCCGCCAAGTAGTTACACTGCTATGTCCACTCATTCACTCAACAAACGAACTTGACACCCGTTTGTTACACCGACTTCTACTGAGCGGCTATTCTGAGCCCCAGGGTCTGGTGAGCACTGGGCGGGGATGAGGAAGACCAGCTCCAACTCGCTCCCAGTGACGGCACACGGAAGCTGAAGCCTTGAAGGTCAAGCGACTAATCTAAGGTCGCCGGCCTTGGAATAGGAGCCGGCATCGGGACCGGGTGCCCGCCCCCAGGCCCAGACCCCTTCCCCCAGCTCACGGGCCGCTCACGGGCCCCGGGCAGCCCAGCCCGTGTCCTGCTGACGGCGCCTCCGGTCGCTGCCCCCAGAGGCCCGGGGCCTGTGCACCAGCACACGTCAGACCCCCACTGCGCTCAGATGGGCGTCTCAACCCCAACCCCACCCCTGCGCCGCGGTCATCTCAGACGCCCGTCTCCAGGACCCCCGAGAGTCAGAGGCCTGAGTGCGAGGGTCTCCAAGGCGACGTCTGAGCTCCCTCCCTCCCGTCGGGAAGCGGCGCTAACTCTCGGGCACGCGCGGCCGGGCGGCTGCCTGGAGCGTGCGCAGAAGCCCCAGCAGAGCATCTGACAGTCCCACTAGACGCACAGGCCGAGCACCGGGCTGCCCCACACGCAGGAGCCCACCGGCTCCACTTGAACCCCATTCTGCACGCACGTCCTTGGGCCCCAGAGCTCGCGCGGGACACCAGCGTCACTGCCACCAACCCTGCCTGCTGGCAGCTTCCTGACGCTCAGGGAGGGCAGCCCCGTGGGGGCGGAGGCAGGCAGAAGCCCGGCGTCGGCTCCCGCAGCCGTGCAGGCCCAGCGCCGGCCGTGTCTGCCGACAGACGGGGAGGGCGCAGGAGGCCCCCCTCCCTGTGTCTTTGTGGTCATCAGCCGCTCGGCTCCAAGCAGCCGACACACGGGGAAGCGCTTCTCTGAACCTCCTCAGCGACTCGCTTTGGGGAAGGCCACGGAGAGCATCTGCAGGGACCTGTCTCCCCCGGAAGTGACACGCACGCAGCTCACCGGTACGGGGGGAAGAACAGACACACGCGCACGCACGCACGGTTTTTACATCCAAGCCAGGCGGGGTCCACGCGGCCTCGCCCAGCGCCGTCTCCGGGCACTTACCAGCCGCAGGTCCTTGGCGGACAGCTTGGTGAACCACTGGTTGTACTCCAGGGCCGCGATGATGGGGATCAGGTCCCTAGGGGCAGAGGCCACAGAACCCGTGACTGAGCCGCGACGACAGCCCCGGCCACGGCCTCCTTGCACGCTCGCTCGCCTGCCCCCGAACGCCCACTGTTCCCACGCGCACGCGGCGGCGGCCAGAACCGCCTCAGCCGTCGCTCGAGGGCAGTGAGACCCGGGACGGTGGGGGCAGCACTCCGGGGAGCTGAAGTCCGGGTGCCCGCGGGACTCCCCGCCCTGACTGAACACACTGACTAGACCCGGTGAGCCGGTCTCGGAGCCTCAGAATCAGGTCGTTTCCCGGTAAAAGTTGGCACGTTTTCTAGCCGTGAACTCCAGGGCGCACAGGCGCCCCCCGCAAAGCATTCGCAGCGACAAGTGCCCCCGACACAGCTCACTCACTGACAGGCAGGGCCCAGGGAGGCTGGGTGCACCCAGTCCCTGCTACCAAAAGGTCTCTGCAGACAGGGCCCCTCGGGGTCAGGGGAGACGGGCAGCCCGGGGTGCCTGGCTGCAGGGGGCAGGGGCAGGAGGAGAGCGCCCCACCTGTGGTCCAGGTGACTGAAGTCCTGCAGATTCAGCTCCCGGGTGTCCTGTGTCAGGTAGATGGTGTCCACGTCCTGTTGGGAAGGCGATGCAGTCACACCGACGGTCCGGGTGGATGGCGGGGCAGCAGGGGGCTCAGAGGGAATCGGACGATGACCCCGGCGGATCGGGGGTCACCCGAGCCAGGGGGTTGTCAGCAAAAACACACAGTGGGGACAGAGAGAGAGACAGACGGGTATCGAGAGTCTGTGTGCACGTGCCGTCGCCCGCGCGTACCCGAGTGTGTGTGACTGTGTGTGCGTGTGAGTGTATATATGAGTGTGAGTGTGTGAGGAGGAGAATGCGAGTGTATGCACGTGTGTGTTGAGTGTGAGCATGTGTGTGAGTGTGTGTGAGTGTCCCAGTCTGTGTGTGTGTGTATGTGAGTGCGTGTGAGTGAGTGTCCCAGTCTGTGTGTGTGCCCCCGCGCACAGACACACTCACCCACTGCACCTCCTCCCGGTACGGGAGCCCCAGCCAGTCGCAGACGTAGGCGTACATCTGAGAAAACCCACCTGCAACGCAAACGGATCTGAGACGGGTCTCCGGGACATGACCTCCAAGTCCAGGCTCAGAAGCCGCCACCAGGCCGGTGTGACGGGCACACCACACAGCAGGACGCCGCGGAGCCTAAGTGCGGGGCTCCCTGTCCCCGGGTCTGGCCGCGCTAACTATGCCCTCAAACCGACTGCACCTCCTCGGGACACGCCAGGAACAGACCGCACCTCCCGGCCGGGGCACCCCGCAGCCACCCATGTTCTGGCTCTAGAACGCGAGCTCACCGCAGGGGCCCTGCTCGGCCAGGGGCTGGCTGTCCCACCGGGCCTGCAGGCTGGCCAGGCGCTCCGCCGGCTCCACGGACACCCTCTTCATGATCTTCCTGCAAGGCCAACAGCAGGAGGGAGCATCAGCCACCAGTTGTGGCGCCGTGTGTAGAAATCTGTCTGGTGAGAGGCCTCTCTCAAACATAAACAAGGGTGCAGGTAGCTTCAGAGAGCGTCACGCCCCGGGACAGGTAAAGCCATGCCCCGGCGAGCAGGCACGTGGGCCCGGCACCCTCGCAGGGCCCCGCACTGCGCAGCGGGCGAGCCACCCCCACCTTCTGGGCGTCACATCCGCAGCAGGTGCAGGACACAGCTCAGGAGCCGGGAGCCGCGACCCAGGTGACGGGCACGCAGCCCTCGGCCCGAGCTCAGGCCTAACCGCTGACGTGAAGACCATCAGGGAACCCTTTCGATCTGCTTCAAGTAAGTGATTTGTTTAAAGTCTGCTCCCGAGGCTCCTCCCGCGTCACCCGGCCACTGTGCCCAGAATGGCCCCTGCCTCGGGCACGCCAGCCAGGGCACGGTGCCACCCCCGCCCCCCTCCACAGGGAGGGGCTGCCACCACCCGCTTCCCATAGACCCCCTTCTCCCACTTGTCTTCACCACGACCTCGCCTTTTCACGCTCCCACTGGCTTTGCACTTCCGGACGGGACTCGCAAAGCCGTTCCCATCGCGACAGCAGGAAACGCTGTCCTTCCACACCAGCGGCGGAACACCGGTGCGAGGCGCTGCCCTTCACACGTGTGCATGGAGGCAAGAACAATGAAGCCCGGGAAAAAGTCACGTGAGGAGTTGCATTCCGTCCCCTGAAAAGGAGGCTATGATCCCATTTCGCAAAAGCAAACCTAATTACAGAAACGCAATTGACTTGCGTGTAAACACACAGCGATAAAAAGTCACAGCTCTGTTCCCCACGGTCTGCGCTGCTCGTGGGGAGGAACCGGTCCCCTTCCTGGCGGTGGGGACCTGGGGCCCCGAGGAAGGGAGAGGAAAGGGCGGGGTGACCCACGCCCCCACCCTCGCGAGTGACGGGAGCCAACACCACAAAGGCAGTCGGTCACCTGGTCACCCGTGTCCCCGGCCGAAGGCGGGCAGTGCCGACCGAGGGGCTGCAGGTCGCAGCGGCCCCGGGGCCGCCTCCACGGGCTCCCCATGAGCGCCGGGCAGGAGGACCAAACGAGAGCCGGAGCGTCCAGGTCTCGGAAACTCTCCGCGAGTCTCCGCTCGCCGGGTGGCAGCCGCACCTGGTTCCTCGAGGCCCCTCCCCTCCCCGCCGCCGCCGCCTGTGAACCCTGGCCTTCCTCTTGGGGGGCACCCCGCCCCCCGCACAGGGCCCCGGCAGCTCCCACCCACGCCCATCCCCCCCCGGCCCCTTCTGCTCGGCCGCCCGGGTTCAGGCGTCCCTGGGTCAAAGGCAGGGCCACGGTCTGCTGACCTCTCCGCGCCCCTGGGCCACCTCCCCCCACGGCCTCGGGCACAGAGCGGGGACCAAACGTAGGGGCTCAGGGACTGCCCACGGCCCGCTGCCTGCCGGGGACGGGGGAGCCAGGGGGAGCCGGGGTTCCTGGCAGCCCCCCAGCCTTCGCCCGAGCAGCGCCCCCCGAGCCGGAAGGGAGGACCAGCTCGACCCGGGGCTCTGCGTCCCTCCTCCGGCCAGGAGGCTGCTGACGGGCTGCGCTGTCCGGCCGCACCCCCTCTCGCCCCCGCACAGCCACATGCCGCACTGTCCCCCGTCTGACGCAAACAGAAGCCCCCCCAGTTCCTCGCACACCTCACTTCCGGCCTCCCGGGCCCCTCGGGGCCGCACTCATTTTCCGCACGAGCCGCAGCCGCCGGTCCCTCCCCGACCCGGCACTGCCGCTCCCCACCGACCCGGCACCGCCCCGGTCACGGCCCCCTGTGCCCGTCACGGCGCCACCCGCTGGACGGCCGCTGCCCTCCGGTTGCCCGACGCCTAGCGTCACTGGGCGGGCCCCCCGGGCTCCAGGTTTCCGCAGGAACTCCTACTGACTCGCTCCGAGGCTGCCCCTCCTTCACTCGACCCCCAGATCTTGGGCTCGCCGTCAAGACCCTCCCCTGCCAGGTGCACAGCTCCCTCTGTGGCTGCGTCACCAGCGGGCGTCAGCCCTGGCCGACACTGCGGCTGTCACGGGTGCTGCGTCCCCAGACCTGATCCAACCCCCAGCCTCGCCCCCGGACCTGCCCCCTGGCGTCCCCACCTGGATGTGCCAGATGCCGGGTTCAGCGTTCCTGACCCACAACGGCCCTCAAAACCCCGGCTCCCACGGCCCCCCGGGCCCTCTGCACCCCAAGGACACGCGGCACGCTCCCCAAGTACACGCCTGGGCCCAGTGGCCCTGGGTTTAAACTCTTCACAAAAATAGATAAATGCCACAATTACCAGTATCCCTAAGGCGCACTTCAGAAAATGAGAGAAAAAGGAAAAGGCTAATTATCATGTTTAGTTTTTCTTTTGCATTTTTTTTAGGTTTCCTCTTACTGATCAAGAACTAAAACACGAAGGAAATGACGCCGTGTCCCCATTCACGCTGCAGGTGACGGCCGTGCGCCCAGCACTCGGCCCCCGGGGAACGCTGCGCACGGAGTCCACACGGGGTCGGGGGTTGGGGGGGGAGTGGAGCGGCAACCCCACAGTGGGAGCCTCGGACGGGAACTCGGAACTCGGGCCGAGGGAGTGAGGCCGGCCAGACCCCCCGCCACCCCCCGCCCCCCGGGACTCACAGGGAGACAGGCCGGGAAGGTCCTCCCCGCCCCGCCCCCCGCCCCGGGACTCACAGGGGAGACAGGCCGGGAAGGTCCTCCCCCCCGCCCCCCGCCCGGGACTCACAGGGGAGACAGGCCGGGGAAGGTCCTCCCCCCCCCGCCCCCCCCCCCGGGACTCACAGGGGAGACAGTCCGAGGAAGGTCCTCCACCCCCCCGCCCCCCCGCCCCGGGACTCACAGGGGAGACAGGCCGGGGAAGGTCCTCCACCCCCCGCCCCCCGGGACTCACAGGGGGAGACAGGCCGGGAAGGTCCTCCACCCCCCCCGCCCCCGGGACTCACAGGGGAGACAGGCCAGGGAAGGTCCTCCACCCCCCGCCCCCGGGACTCACAGGGGAGACAGGCCGGGGAAGGTCCTCCGCAGGCAGGAGCCCACATGGGCCAGCACGTCGCTCACGTCCTCGGGCGACGCCATCCGCAGGGACAGGCTGTGCTTCTCCGTGTCCAGGACCATCTGCAAGAGCCGGCGGGCACCGCGCGGTCAGGGGGCACCAGGCCGTCAGGGGGCACCGCACGGTCAGGACCGAGGGCTCGAGCGAGCAAACCACCCTCGCGGAGGCCGGCGAGCGCAGTCCCAGCGTGTGGGGCCCTTTCTTAAAGCAGCACCCCACCCGCAGCTGCAGAGTCGCCGACCTGCTCGGGGCCAGGGTGCACAGGCGGTCACGGGCACCCACAGCTGAGGTGAGTGTGTGTCCAGGGGCAGATTCAGAGCCCCCCACCGCCACCGTGTGGCAGAGGCCGAAGGTCCACATTCATGCACGACCCCCCCTTCACCGAGACTCTGCCTGGGGGGGCGCCGGGCAAGGCCCCGCCGTCCAGGGTGAGTAGGAAGCCCCCCCACCCCCGGGCGTGCCTCAGGCAACCGCAGCCGGCAAGAGGCTCCAGTGAGGAACCTGCAGCGGTGACCGACCGCACCTCGTGGGAGAACACCTGGAAGTCTCCCCCCCAGGTGGGGGCGGGACAGGACGTGCGTCCCCACCGCCTGTCTCGGCCCAGGGCGGCGCGGTCGTGCAGGGTGGCCGGCTGCGCCGCGCCGGCACCGCGGACGAGTGGTCAGTTTGCCCGCTGCCGTTCCAAGGACGTTGTTGCCAGGAGACGGGCGACCCCGGGGGCGCAGGCCCAGCGCTCGGCGCTATACCGACGGCACCGCAACGGCGCCGTGTTCGCAGGGACGGCCGCCGTCACCCCCGAGCCCGCCCGGGGCGCACAGTGGGCTGCTCACAGGGAAGGAACCCGCGAGCTTGCGAGTGTCCTGTCCCCGCGGTCGACAGGCAGCACGGCTGTCACCCCCCGGGCTGCTCGCTGCTCGTGTGGCCCCGAGAACAGCACAGATTCAGACAGACAGACAGACAGACGGAAGCCGAGAGACCCACGAGGCCTGTCTCCCCGCCACAGCCGGGCGAGAAGAGTGACCGGTGTCCACACAGAACAGGAGGCAGCAGCACTGTGCTCCGTGTACGGGACACGGGACATGGGACACGGCCGTCCGTGCATAACACGGAGCTGGCTACTGACACACCCCCAGACCTGACCGGTGGGCGGGCACACAGCGCCACGTGAGAATCCACGGTTCCCGAATACCGGCGAGAACCAGCGGGGACCTGAGTGTTAAGAGCAGCAGCGTCTACAACGGCGTCAGGAAGCAGGAGACGCTTGGGCACGAGCCTGAGGAGGGACTGTGAGACCCGCGCCCTGGAGCCGCCACAGAGCACAGAGCAGGGCTGAGCGCCAGGAGAGCACTCAGCGTCAGCGGAGACGGGCGCCCGTCTCGGGTCGGGAGCCAGCTCTCCTGGGGGGGGTGGTGTTCGGAGAGCCAGCGCAGCCCACAGCTAGGGCCCACGCGGCATTCCCGGGGGCGGGGTCTCAGGGACCGCTCTGCGCCGGGGAGAGCCACCAACCACGACACAGGGCCCACCACGCGGCCTGGTTTCAGGTCCGCCTGTGACGCTGCCGTCGCCCGGACCGTGTCGCGGGGACAGAAGGACAGACACCTGCCACAGGGACAGGACTTGGAGGCAGGACACAGACCGGCGTGGAAGGAGCCACTGATCGTCAGCGAGAAGGAAAGCCAGTCGGGGTGAAACCACAGCCGTCCACACGCACGGCATGGGACACACGGACAAACCACACACACGGAGTAAGGAACCGAACGCTGACGCGTCCACACGCCGCTGGGTTCACACAGAGACCGCGTCGAACTGGACCGTCGCCCTGAACGTGTGACCTGGAGCTAGAAGATTCCGGGAGACGGAACACACTCGGTGACCTCGGGTGGAGTGAGGATTCTCTCAACCCGCGGTCAAAGCAAGTGCCGCCCGGGGAGGAAAATACTGAGACACTGGACTTGACCAGAATCTCAAATGTCTGCTCCTGCAAAGGCACCGCGAGGAAGATGAGGAGATGAGCCGGCAGACGACAGGAAACACGCATGCCTCATGCATCTGACACACCCATGTGCGCAGAATGCCCTGGGGCAACCCTGAAAACTCGACGGGAGCAAGGGACGCAATCTGCCAACGGCCAGAGGGGCAGCCGACACCGGATCGGAGGAGACCCCGACGGCAAACGAGCGACACAAAGACCCCCGGTGTCTTCCGTGCTGAGGGAACCGCGGCCTCAAACCACGACGGGGAGCGTGCAGCACACTCGCCAGAACGGGCCAAAGTGAGCAGGCGGCACGCCCGTGCCGGGGTCGGCAGGAAGGAAATCGGCCGGCGGCCTCCTGGGGGTCAGTCTCCTGGGGGCCCGCCTCCTGGGGATCCGCCTCCTGGGGGTCAGACGTGCATCTGCCGCACGCCCAGGCGTCGCCCACGGGGAAGGCGAGCCCGTGTGCGGCCAGGTTTGCACGCGAGTGTGCACCGCAGCACCCCTCGGAGCCCAACACTGGGGACAGCCGGGCGTCCGTCCTCGGGGGACGGAGGAGCAGGCCCTGAGAGAGCCACGCGGCGCCCCACTGGGAAGTGACGGGGAGCGAGGGACGGGACGGCGGCAGGGGACACAGCCTCACGGCGATGCTGCTGACCAGGGGAGGCGGACTGTCAGTCCCACTCTCAGAAAGTTCCAGAAAAGGGGGATTCCTCTGGGCCAGCGGGGAGCAGGCGCCTGCCGCTGAGGAGGGCAGGGGGGAGGGCGGACAGGTGTCCGGGAGGCTTTGGGGGGACGGGCGGGTTCCGTAGGTCGGTCCCGGGAACGGTTTCGTGGGGACCCAGCTGTCAAACCTCCCAACCGTACGCCTCACTCAGTTCACCGCGGGTTCCTTACGGCCCCACGAGGCTGGCCATGAAGACCCAAATATTCACCTCGCCTCCCGGAAGGCCCGGGCCCAGTGCTGTGCAACCGCTACAATGTGCTGGTGCCACGGCTTGCACACAGCCTCCCGGGGGCAGCACTCTCACGGGGCGGCCGCCCGCGGGGAGCTCCCCGGCCGCTGCGGAGAAAGTGTCCTTCCAGGCCCCGCCCCGCCCCGCCCGCACGGCCGGTCAGCCTCCCGCCGCTCCACGCTGTCCGGTCCCTCGTCGGGCCGGCCCACGGGCCCACCCACCGGTCTCCGCGGGTCACACTCACCTGGGCGGGCTTGCTGCAGGTGACGCCGTGAATGTCCAAGTAGTTGAAGCTCAGCTCCAGCTGCAGTGAGGGAGACAGAGACCGGTCACCGGGGTTTCGGAACACAGCGCCCGGTGACGGCCCCGCAGTGAGAGACGCCACCGGGCCACCGGCGGGGACGGCGGGCTGGCTTGCTGCCCCCGCTCCTCCCCTCAGGTCGGACCCGGGCCGACCGGCCCTCAGAAGAAGCGTTATCTGCACCCCTAGCGGGACGGCGCGGGCCCGTCCGACTGCTTACAGTTCATCCCGGACAGACACGGGGAGTTTCTGCGTTTCTGCCCTGGGACCTCATCCCTTCAGAAACGCGGGTGTCACACAAGCCACCGGAACACGCTTCTCTCTTCTACTTCACAGCGTGGCCTCGGAGCCACCCCTGGGTGGCGCCGGCGCCTGCCCCTCCCTCCCGACCCCGGCCTCTCTGGTGGCACTCCGCCGCTTACTGGAGCCACCACCCTTCCCACCAGCTGCCCCGATCGAAGTTCGTGTGAAAACACTGAAAAGTGTGGTTGGAGAAATGCGGTATTCAGGAATTTCAAGCCATGCTTAAATGAAACACACAGTTGGGTTAGAGTTTTCTCCTTCTTCACACAGATAGGTGCTTTCTTTCCTTTTTATTCCAGCACGAAGGGTCTCCTCCGCCCTTCCCCTGCGATCAGCATCTGTTTTCTTCAAAACACGTCCAGTCTCGCACTCTCTGCCTGGTTTTCCTGGACAGCGGCCACTAATCTCTCTCCCGGCTGCCGCCTTCCAGCCGCAGACCCCGGGACGGCGTGGGGTCCCTTTACTTTGCCCTCACCTTCCACCCAGAAATGCAGTGGGGGAACCCCCCCAGAACCCAGCCCACGGGCCCTCTGCTCGGCCCCCGGGGAGGCGGGGGGCCGTCCCGTCACGCGTGGGCGCTCGGAGACACACGGGGACGCCGCACGCCCGGCTTCCCTGTCTACCTCTGACCTTGGGGGGTGGGCGAACGGGGGCGCCTGGCCGGGCACTCGGGGCCGGCGCCCTCTCCATGGCCACGTCCCCTGGGCCCCTCAGCCTCAAACCGCCGTGTGGCCTGAAGCGGGCAGGTAGTTCTGCGAGATGTCCTTGATGAAATAAATGGACCGGCACAATCGGAACGGCTCTGCTTAGGTTTGGGAACACACCTCACTCAGCAGGTGTGAGCCAGAGTGAGCAGGTGTGAGCAGGAGCGAACAGGTGCAGGCGGGTGTGAACAGATCTTGTGAGCAGGTATGAGCAGGTGAGAACAGGTGTGAGCAGGTGTGAGCAAGTGTGAGTGGGTGCGAACAGGTGTGAACAGGTGTTGTGAGCAGGTGTGAGCGGGTGCGAACAGGTGTGAACAGGTGTTGTGAGCAGGTGTGAGCAGCTGCACCCTCACACCCCGGCAGCTGCCAGAGTGCCACTGGCGCTGGCACCGTCAGCACCGTCTCACGCGGACAGCTCTGGTCCGCGTGCGGGGGGGAGGGGGGGTGCTGGGGGCAGTTAAGAGGCTTCCGCTGGGCCTGGGGCGGCCGCTGGGGCGAGCAGAGCACCGGGGAGCGGGGGACGCCCTGGGACACCCCAGCTGGGCCTCACGGACCCCCAGGCGGCCCGGCACCGACGGGGCGGGAAGGAACCCAGGCTGCAGGGACGGCCTCTGCGAAGAAGGCGGCGGCTCGGGGCCTTGTGATCCGTGTGACCGCCGGCCCAGCGGGGGGGTGGGGGGGCCGAGACCTCTGATCCCCTGCTCAGCTGGCCTCTCAGCCCGCCCACGGGGCCGCGGCCCTCGGCCCCCAGACGGCCCCCCCTCCGACCGCAGCCCGCCCCAGAGACGCCCCCAGGCGGCCCCTGGGCGGGGGGAGGCAGGAGCCAGCCAGGAAGCTGGGGTGCGCGCCGGCTGCTGGAAGGCAGGGCCGCAGGCACTAGCGGTCGGGTGGGAAAGGGGAAGGAATTAGCCCAAACTTCCCCACTCACCGCACCCCCGCCTCTAGCCAGACAGCAAATCCACGTGCACTTGTGTGTCTGTCTGTCTGTCTGTCTGAGTTCTGAGTGACCCCCACACACCGCACCGGCCCGGGTCCTGTAAACGTTCCGGCCCTTTCCCTGCGCCCACGGGCCCCCGCACACCCGGGCCCAGAGCCCGCTCCCCGGACACCCTGCGCAGGTTCACCTGCGACCCCCCAGCAGCGGCAGACCCCTCCTCTGGCCGACAGTGTGGGGGGCGTCCTTCAGCCCAGTGTCTGTGCGGACCCCCGGACCTAGCACTACCCACCCCCACCCCCACGGCAGGGCCGGGCCTCCGGGTGACGGCAAAGTGCCGTTCCCCACCCGGGTGTGGTGCAGAGCGACCTGCTCCGTGACTGACCCCCGAGGAGAACTCCTCGGGTCTGGGTGTCCGAGCGCACGGGGGATGGGGGGGGTGGGGGGGGGGCACGCCTGACGGTGAGAAAACAAGAGGAAACGTTGGACGAGTCGGCCCCGGAGGGAAAGGGGGCCGCACGCGTGTCGCTTCGTGAGGCTGGGGGTGTCAGACACGGGCGACCGCGTCAGACACGGGAACCCACGTCCGACCGCCCAGCGGGGCCGGCTACACCTCGAACTCGTGACAGGGGAGCGGGGCCTGCACTCGGGGGCGGGGCGGGACCGGCCGCAGACGACGGGAGGCAGGCGGCCGCCCCAGGGGACGCGCCCGCCGCTGAGGACGGACACTTTCCGTGTCACGCGAACACGCCGCGCCCGCCCGGGGGCTTCAGCCCAGAGGCTGCCGGCCGCGCCCTGGCGCTCCCTCCCACAGGGACTCCTCTCGGGCGACGCGCTCCCTTCCCTCCGGCCCCCGGGCGCTCCGGGGGCCCGGCACTCCATCCAGTGTCACCCGCAGCACCCCCCCGTCCCCTCCCCCACGTCCTGTCCCCCACTCCCATTCCCCTCCCCCCGTCGCCCTCACGACACAGCGCGGACACGCAGGCCCACTTCACACGGTCAGAGGGGCCGGGCCCTGCCCTCGTCCCTCGGAGAGACCGAGTGAAGGTCAGCGTTTATGCGGGCGGGAACGAAGGGCACGGGGCCCCCGCCTTTGACCAGCGAGCGGTGGGCCGTCTCCGCCACGCTCAGCAGAGATCCTGCACGTGTGGTGGCGCGTGTACATGTGTGTGTGCATGTGTGCATGTGGTCTGTGTCTGCACATGTGTGTGCCTGTGGTGTGTTCCTGTGCGCCTGTACATGTGTGCATGCGTGTGCCCGTGGTGTGTGTTCCTGTGCGCCTGCACATGTGTGTGTGGTGTGTGTGGTGAGGTGCATGGGTGCACACACGTGTGATGTGGTGTGGTGTGCACACGTGTGTGCGTGCACTGGCAGGAGGACCGCGTCGGCACTTACCTTGGTGGGCACCCGCGCGGCGAGGAGGAAGGCGCGGCAGGACGTGAGCACCTGGAAGACAGAAGCAGCGGCGTCAGGCGGGCCTGCGGGCTCTGTCGCCCTCGGGGCCTGACGCGGGTGGGTGGACGGGCGGGCGACCTGAGGACCAGGACCCGTCCCTGCGGGTCTGCCGGTCCGTCCGCCCGTCCGCCCATCCATCTGCCCCTGCCCCTCCCCCGACCACGTGCTGGCCTCCGCGTCTCTCCGCGCCCCCGTCCTGTGTCTGTGCGCCCGACGCTGTGTCCCTCCGTGCCCTCCGCCCCACGTCCCCCCACCCTCCTCTCCGCTGCCGCTGCCACTGCCCCCGCCAGGCCCCACCGTCCCCCCACCCTCTCCCCTCCGGGGCCCCCGCCCGCGCTCAGCCCCCAGTTCCCAGCGTCCTCTGGGCGCACCCCTCGACGGCCTGCACGTCAGCTACGCTGGCCGCACAGGAGACGCCGACCACAGGGGAAGCGCAGCCTTCCGGAAGGTGTTCCACTCGCAACAAGCCCCGGGGGCACTGGGACGACAGACGCCTTCGGATGTGACTGGGGCACGGCCCCCCGGACACTCCGGCCGACGAGCCCGAACACGGAGCCTGCACACAGGCGTCCAGACCGCGGCCCCGGCAGCACACGCAGGCGCAGGCGGCTGGCCCTCCGCCCCCCGGCGGTGCCCTTGGGGAGCAGCACCCCCCGCCCCCCCCCAGGGCTGCCTGCCCTCGACCATCACACTGGGGCCTCCAGGGGCCTCTGCCGGGGCACGGCGCGGGTCGGGGAGGGAGGACAAGCCCCCGAACGTCCACGTGAGCCCACCTTTCGGGTGAAGAGCATTTCCTGACCACGCGCAGACACATCCCACCCTGACGGTCACATCTGCTTGACCCGGGGGCCCGAGTGGCACCCCCTCCCCATGGGAGAATCTCAGAGGCGGGTGAGTGCACAGCGTCCTTCGCCGGTTGGACAGGGGCCACGGTGACGGCCTGGGGGGGACACCCCTCGAGGGGCCGGGGGGTCCTGGGAGCGCGCACACGCACGGTCACACGGTCACGCCCACACTCACGCGTGCACGCGGACTCCCACACGCGCTCACAGTGCTCCCGGCAGGGCGGGCACAGCACCCGGGAGAAGCCCCGACTCCGCGCAGGCTCCCAGGTGGGGCCGGTGTCGGCACCGAGAGCCCCGCACCCGGAACCTGGGGCCCGCGGCCGCGCCCCCTGCGCGGGTCTGGGAACCGTGAAGACAGGGTCCCATCCGGGCCCTGCCCCTCCCCCCCAGCTGCCCACCCGACGGCCGCCTCCTCCACGCCCAGCACGCTCACCTCTGAGTAACACCAGGTCCCCCCACCCCCACCCCGGGGCCGAGGCCGAGGCGGCTGCTGACCTACGGCGCCCGAGGGAGCGCACGGCCGGGCGCCCAGAAGGCCGGGGCCAGACACCGGCTCTCGCACTGTCCATTGAAAGCCGACGGGGCGGCACCTCCGTGTGTTGGGCCCCCCGAGCGGGAGGCGGCAGGCGCCCCGACTGGGTGTCTAACGGGCAGCTCTGGTCGACAGGACGGGACGGAGCAGAACGCCCGAGGCCCCCAGAGACCCGAGGCACCTCCGGGGCTGGAACCGTGGGCTGCGCGCGCGTTTCTGGCCTCGACAGAGAAGGGTGCTCTCGCGGAGCGAGAACTACGGGGGCGTCAGAGGGGCACGCGGGCCCAGCAGGGAGCCCGCGCCCCAGGGCAGCCGTAGCCCCCCGCCCCCCCCACCCCCGGAGCCCCTCCCCCCTCCCACTCCGCACCAGGCCCCGGTGCAGCCCCACAGCCCCCTGCCCGACGCTCACTGAGAGGCAGGCGGCAGCCTGGTTCCCTCGAGGCTTCTCGCCCCAGCGTGGGACTGCCCTGGGGACGCGCCCAACAGTCCCTCCTGCGGCGCGGACGCACGGCCCCACAGAGGGTCGCAGTTTCCCGGGGGCGATGACGCCCACAGAGACGGCCGCCGGCTCCGCACCCTCTCCTGCCCCCCACCCCCACCCTATCACACCCTGAAACAGCCCCCATTTCACCCCCTGCCTCGCCCCACCCCTGGGACCCCCGCTGCACGGTCCGTCCACACGCCCCTGCCCCCCCGAACGGCACCCCTTTGTGCACGTCCCCGAGAACGCCTTCCTCCCGACCCCCGAAGCGCTGGCTCCCGGGCAAGCGAACCGAACGGTGAGCGCCCTCCGTCCAGCACCCCACACCCATCGCGGGTGGACCCCCCCCCTCAAGACGCACTGGGGGCCGCACCGTCATCCCCACTGTGGGGTTGGGAGTGGCAGGTGCGAAGGGACTGGGCGGCCCCCCCACCCCCGGGGCAGGTGAGGGAGGGTGAAGCGTGTCCAGGCCCCGAGCCCGAGCCCGAGCCCGGCCGTCTCCGCAGAGCTGTGAGGCCGCCACCCTCCGGGGCCAGAGCAGGGGACACTGCTCCGGAGGAAACCAGAAACAGCACCTCATTCTCCTGCCGTCTCTGGCCTCAAATCCCGCATGAAACCAGGTCGCCATATTCCTCGGGCACCTGTGTCAAGAGCAGTGAGGCCAGCGGGGCGCCCACCAGCCCCCACCTGCTCCCACAAACACACTTCCCCTGGCCCCACGGTGGTTAAGGGGTGGTCGCCGGCGGAGCTGGGTGGGCGCAGCAGCAGCAGCAGCGGAGGTTCCCCTGCCTCACAGAGCTCATGGGTTCCCCTCCGGCCCCCTCCGGCGGCCCCTCTTCTGCAGGTGGGAGAAACGGGCCGCCACCTCCTGGGGCCGTGCCGGGGGGGACGGGGGGGGGCTCTGAGTTGACACGGGTGCTCAGGAGACGGCGGGCGTGTGGGCGGGCCGCATGCTGTGCTGTTATCAGCACATTTCGGAGCTGGAAGAAGAGCGCGACCATCCACAGGAGACGCGAAGTACGGGGAGACTTAGAGGGTTCACCCGGGTCTGGCCTCAAGCTCGCCCAGCGGCCCGACCCTGAGCACGGTGCCACCTCTGCGACCCCAAGTTCACCGAGGGGACCCGAAGGGCGGGGGCGGGGCCAGGTCTCTCGTCCGCTCCTCCCGGTGGGAACTGGCCCCCCCTCTGCCCCGGGCTCCCCTCCACAGGACAAAGGCAAGCCCGGCCCCTGCTTCCTCCCCAGCGGGGCCACCCACGACGGCCACCGCAGGCAGGTCCTTGCGTCACCGAGGGTGACGCGCACACTCAGGCCGAGCATGGAGCCAGCCAGCGCGTAACGCACGAGGGTTGGAAGGAGGAGACAGCAGCACGGGTCCTGAGGACGTCCCGTCAAGCGCAACAAGTCAGGTGGGAAAGGGCAAGGACCGTGGGATCCCGATTCCACATGGGAGAGCAAACAGAAGAGCAGTAAATGGGCAGACACACTCATAAACGCCGACACCTGCACGGTGGTCACCCGAGGGAGGGGGAGGGGCGAGGGAGGCTGAGGAGGGGACGGGGTCAAGTACACGGTGGCGGAGGGAGGCCAGACCGTGGGGGGTGGTCACACAACGCAGCACGCAGGTGACGTGCCAGGGAATTCTACGCCTGACCCTTACCCGGTGCGCCAGCCAGGGTGGCCCCGTAAACCTGGTCTTTGCGGAGCCGGAGCCCGTCCAGAGGAGCCCGTGAGCCCGGAGCAAGAAGTGCCTGGACGTCCAGCGGCCCCGGATGTTTACCACGGCTGGTCCCTGTGTCTCGGGGTCTAAAACCCTTCAGTCGGCCGCCGCGTCCGTGCTCCCCGGGGTGTCCCGGGCCCCTCGGCTCCCCATGCCAGCCCTGCCCCGGGAGTGCGAATCCCCAAAGTGACAGAAAGTCTAAACGCTGGGGACCGCGACGGGCAGACTCGGGTCCACACGCTTCGACAGGCGCCACCTGCGTGAGCTCATCCATGCCCCTGTCGTGACTTAGGTTGGCACTGTTTTGTGAAACGTTGGTGTGAAATTTAAACAAAAGAGTTAAAGAGTAACAAAGTAACCGATCTTTGATATGTTTCCCCGAGTTATTTTCCTCTGCTAAGGCCAAAGGAGATACATCCGTAACCAGTGAGACCTGTCCCAATGGGTAGTGCCCGTTGGCGGTATTTCTGCCTTTTTTTTTTTTATGAGGCCACGCCCACCAGGGAAATCGCGGGAAAGCTGCGCCGCACCCGTGTCAAGCCGAGCTGGGTGCTCCCGGCCGCAGGCCGCACCCCGCTGTCTGGTCTCGCAGAGCGGCCTCCCCACGCGCGAGGCTCAGGCGTCTGCTGCTGAGTCTTAATTCCCGAAGCGCCCGCGGCCGAGTGCGCGCCCCGCCCCCGCCCCCGCCGCGCCCCCATAATTAGCAGGACTCCTGCGCGCAAGGAGCGCTCGGCCCTGCACCCTCGCCGGGCCGCCCGGAGCGAGTGCCTGCTTGCCCTTCCCGGGAAATTGGCTCTGATCGCGGGGCTCGCACGGGACTCTGCCCTTCCCTCCCGCTGACTCAGGGCCCCGCCCGCCCCTCCCGTCTCCGCCTCCGGGAGGGAAGCCCCAGCTCAGCTCCCTCGGTCCCTCCGCGTTGGACCAAACGCGACCAACTGCTTCCAGCCGGACTTAGGCGTCAGCAGCTGGCACTGTGGAAACTCAGGAGTGATTTGGGGTTGTGGAAAACACCGACGAGACAGCACCGTGAATTCTGAACACTTCAGTTCAGGTGGAAGGACTGATCCCTTTGAACTTGGCCCACAGCCTGTCTGGGTCTGCCTGGGCTGCTACGCTGAGCACCCCAGACGAGTGTGTCTTCCGTGTGGTTCCGGAGGCGGGCACGGGCGAGGTCCGGGTGCCGGCCAGGTCAGGTCCCAAGAGGAGCCTCTCCTTCCTGCCCAGGCCTCCCCTGGCGGAGCAGGGAGAGACAGCCAGCCCTCTGCCGTCTGCTGAAGGGGCCCCAACCCCAATGGGGGGCCCCACCCCCCAAAGCTACCACACTGAGACTGGGGCTTCACACAGGAATTTGGGGGACACACACACTCGGTCCGTAGCGGGCACCACAGGAGACACGGAGGTCCGCCTACGTCCC